AGTGCCCTCAACACTACAAAAGTTTGGCTAAAGGCTAAAAGTAGTGAACGCAGTCCTGGGGTACGATAAGTAGGAGGTAGGACACGCTGGCCACTGTATTCTACGCATCGAAAAACAGATGTGTGCGGCCGAGCGGTTCAAACAAGCGATGAGCACATGACAACCATGAACGATCTCCCAGTCCATAGTCAACGACCCAGGGCGCATCGGCGTACTTCTAATGAAGCCATGTGCACTCACACGCCCGTTTCCAGGCGCGACTAGGTTCGCGGGAACCTTAGCTCAAGGGATTGAAGCGTCATACATGACCCAATTCTTCTCGAGATACGTCCCACTCGAGCATAGTGTTTAGATAGTCTAAAAGTGGCATAATCAACAAAGGTAAAAACAACAATCCCATGTCGCGCACGAGGGATGGTTCTCTTGATCAAAGCATCCCACCTTCAACCTTCAACCCTAACCCCTAGCAACCTTCAGAAATCACCTGGTTCCAATGACTGCAGAAGACACTGTCCACGGTTCGAACTTCGTACAGTGACTGCCAAGCGAGGATACTGCTGCAGATTCCCTTTTGATGCAGCCTGCGCTCGGCTCGGACACGGCGACTATCATGCACAGTCTGCTGTGTAGTCGCGACACGAACCAGAGCCGCAGGTGAGGGTTGCATCCTGATTTCACTGCAAAAATAAGGAAACACACTATGTAGCAACCCAATACGGTCGCGTACAGATGTGGCGGTCCTTCTCTACTTCCTACCTCTCCCCCCTTCTTCCACTTCTCTCCCGGCAATTCTTGAAGTGTAGTCTTGATCCTTTCTGACAAAACAGAAAGGTGGCCATGATCCCACTGCGTCATATGCACATATCCTTTCCTTCTGGGTTTTCGTCGCTCTCAGCACACTTGGCGGCAACACCGTGAACCCATTCCACGTTCACGGCTATCATTGTACACCATGCTTTACTGCTGCTATGGTGTGTACAGCAACAGCGTCGTTCACGAATGGTCCAACAACCTTGAGAAAAAACAGCGAACCTGCTTTCCATATAGACTATGATGCCGTAGAGGTTAAAGTTGCAGTTCCTGTTGATGTGCCCACGCCGCCTGACCGCCTCGCAACTCGCAACTTTTGCGATTGATGCAGCACTTGTACTTGTACTGCATTAATTACATAAGTGCAACACAACAGTTGCGTTTGGAGATTGATTCCGATGAACGCTCCCTGCTGCTCTCTAGCAGTGCAGCAGTAGAATACTGCTGCTGCTGTGTGGAGCCTCGCAATCTCTCAACTTCGCAACTGCTACATACGACGGTCTGTAGGATCCGTGATGCACCTGCTGCTGCAACTTGGCTGCTGTACAGTTCTCATTTTCTCGCCGAATTTGCACGGCCAAAAGTGAATCACAAGCGTCGTAATGATCACAAACCTGCTTCATGATCTTTCCTCTACTTGTCTTGACGGCTCTAACCCCTCCTTCGCCCTCCATCGCCGGTGCCGAACGATAAGATGAGGAGATGTCGTGGTGACTTGTAGCATGTAGCATGTCGTCTGGTGCGGTTTAGTAGTTGCACCGCATTTAGAAATAAATGAAAAATACACCAGAAAAATATGTACACGCCGCAGGAACCGAAATTCGATTTCACGGAGCCCCTACGGCAAGGAGGCGGGTCGCACAACACCAAACTGACCAGCCTTACAGCAGCACACGCAGGGCAGACCTTGGTGGTCTTGAAGGACCCCCCCGAAATAAACAATGTGAGGACGTAGAGTACACTATTTTCTCGGCTCTCGGTAGGTAGACGCTTTAGTTTGTGTCTGATTTTGACTTACGAGGTTGAGGGGATGCACTCTTGACATTTTGACTGGCGTTCCTTCGTTGCGATGAGATTATGAGATCGTGTGGACTGGACTCGCGCGCTTTTGCCGGATAGACGCGTTGTACCACCCGCGAGGATCAGCGCGACAAAGACATACGTTTGGTGATGGCGCTAGTTCCTATCTCATGCATAATCCAACCCGTGCTGCTACGCACCACGTTGGTATCATCACACGCGCACCGCTGCCTCTCTCCCCTCCAAATATGTGTTGGCTGTGCTTGGCTTGCTTCTGGGGTGCTGATCTAAACCTCTCCCATGCCATATTTGTCTGAAATATGCCTCATTCATGGTTGCGACAATCGCCTTTGCAAGCCACACACCCAGCAGCAGCGGCGCCAGATGACGGACCTCGATCTTTTCCCGCGAGGCAAGAGCGCCGCCGCGGCAGACGCGACAGCATCGTCCAGCACGTCCAAGTCGAGCAGCGGCAAGCGAGATGCTCGAAAACGCAAGTCTTCCGGGGCGGCATCGCCTGAAGACAGCAGTAAGAAGGGCAAGGGGGGTAAGGACAAGGACTGGCTCTTCGGCGGTGGCGGTGGCGGTGGCGATCAACAGCAGAGCAGGCCTTCGGTGCCAGGCAAGAGACCTCGTGGCGAGAGCAGTGCATCGAGCCCCGGCAGTATCGGTGCATCGAAGGGAAAGGTGCGTCTCGAGTGGGGCACGTTGTAGTCCTGATGTTGGAGTTTGGAGCTGTGCGCGGGTCGAGGTCGTCGGAAGTATGCATGCTTGCATGTGTGCACACCATCTGCTTGCGGCCAGTAGACACAGCAGTAGCTCACACTGCTGCTGCTACCAGACCCTATATCCTAAGCTTACGATGCCGCGACCGTCAGCATGGAAGTTCGTGCATGTGTTGTGGAAGTGGCTAGTTGGTGTGTGCACGGTAATGGCAGCGAGGTTGTCTGCTCCATACCACACCATTCCCACCCTTCTCTTTTGCATTGTGTTATCTTGCTGCCCTGCTGTCCGCAGAAAAGAGGCTCAGCCGGAAGCGAGGTGGGGTCGGGTATGCTGGTAGAGCACTCCGGAAGGGCTCCTCGACTTGAGATGGTTTCCTTCAAGAAGCTCAACAAGGGCACTCTTGCCATGGGAGTCGTCTTCAAGGTCCGTGGCTCCGCTAATCTGTTTTTTGAATGTACTTTCGATCCGTCTCTCATCTGCCCTCTTGCCACCTCTTTTCCTCCCGCCCTCCCTCACGCCCTTTCTTCCTCCCGCCCTCCCTTACGCCCTTTCGTTCTCCCGCCCTCCCTCACTTGTCAGATCAATGAACACGACATGGTGGTCTCCTTGCCCAGCAGCCTAACGGGCGTGGTTCGACGTCAAGAGGTGAGCGACTACTTCCACCAGAAGGCCGCAAGCGCGAAGAACACCGGCTCCAAAAGAGCTGGCGGCCGAGGGAGATACTTCGACGAATCACAGACTGGCGAGAAGCCCTTGACCCACCTATTTCGCGAAGGACAGGTAAGATGTCAGTCCTGGTCTTGCCCGTTTTGGGTCACTGCTGACATGTATGGCACATTCACGTACTGCAGTGGCCCGGATTCGAAGCTATTTGAAGAATGTGCGAGAAACTGCTGTTCGTTCAATCCATGACAGTGGCTCATGTTGTGCGTCTGGATTGTTGCCCGGGGCATGCATGTATGTGAGGGAGGCTGACATGGTGTGCGAAATAGCTTAAATTTCAAATTGACAAAGGTTCAGGCTGGCTGCCCCTGGACAATGTTTGCCTATCCCGCTCGATGGCATGCATGTTCCTCCGTGTGCCCGTGTTACCTCCTACTGCCTACGGCTTGTTTGCTGTGGGAGCGGAATGCTTGCATAGATCATGGTTTAATTTGTGGAGTGTTGGAGCCAAAGGATCGAGGTGAAAAACACAATCGTAACTTTTTATTTGTTCATGGAGGAATCGCCCAGCAGCGGGTACATAAACTAGTCGAAAGGTCGAAACAGGCAGGGGGTGTCGATGATGTAATTTGTATTTGCTACACTCGACTGTCGGGATGACGACACATGCCACCAAGATCGCTGAGACATTCCCCTTCAACAAGAAATGAATCGCCTCCCACGGCTTTACTTTGAACCGTCCGCGAACCATCACCATGCAACCTCATTCACGCCCGTTTGCGCGAGGTTTTTAGAAAACTTCTCTTGATGTGTAGTCTATGCGCGTAGATACAGTTTGACGTGATGTAGTGTCTCGTGTATAAGTGTCTGGTTGATTGCGTTGATATATCCCTCTTTGCGTTAAGCCTGCCGGGCCACCGTGGTGCCAGTTGATGAAGTTAAAGTATCGATGATGCAACGTATATTTGCTACTCTCGACCGTCGGGATGACGACAGTAACCACCAAGATCGCTGAGATACCGTACCGCGCTTCGTTTTCTTCAAGTGTCAAAGGCATGGCTGCCCTGAGCAAACCACGCTTTTGCGCGCCCCCTGCCCTTACGGTTGTACGGGATATCGGTAGGCTAGACAGACTAGGGAAGACGCTTTTGAGCCACATGGCAAAGTAGAAAGGAACGATTGGGCATCGATAATCGGCCCTCTTTGGGAACAACGCTCCGTCCTCTCGAGGACGTGTGGTCAATGGTCTAACCGGTAAGGCATGTAAAGCATGAGAGTACGCCCCCTCCCCGCCCGCCCTTACGGTTGCGATTTGTGTGTTGTAGGCGTCCACGCTTGTAGTTTGGTGTAATTGTGAGGGTGATGCATTTGCCCAGAATGTGAAGTGCTCCTACAGCTATGCTCCGGAGTGGATGGGATCTCGCACGTGGTTCGACTTGCATACGTACGCAAGCCCCACTTGCGTGGCAGCCGCAGATGTCAACGCTTGGAAAACATACCATACCACGGATGACACGAACACCGCACCACCTTTGCTTTCGTTCGGTATCGCAGGTTGTCCGCTGCGCCATCATCAGCCTGGCGAAGGAAGCAAAAGGCCGTCACATCGAGCTGTCCCTTCGCGCCTCGTTGTTGAACAAGGGGTTGTCGCTGTCCCAGCTGACGAAGGGAAACGGGGTGTACGGCTCAGTGGCGTCGGCGGAGGACCATGGGTACGTGGTCACTCTTGGCCTGGATGGCGTTACCGCGTTTCTCCCGAAAAAGGATGGTCCCAAGGAGGGCCTCGAACCGGGGCAGCCGGTAGAGGCTGTGATTCAGGCAAGATGTCACGGCATGGCATGCAAGTGTTTTTTTTTTTTTTTCCCGAGTGTACTTATTTTTTATTGGTTGCACATGTTTTTGTTCCTGGGTTGAGGTGTGAAGGCGTAAAGCAGGACCATACTTACCAGTGCGTGAGTAATTGCCTGCTTCAATTCAAGCATGAACGGCGATTTTGTTTTTCCTGTTTAGTTGTCTTGTGGTTTCCAAGAGGCCAGCCTTTGACGGCATCGCGCACCTCGGGTGTGGTTTCGTGTGGTGTTGTCATCGGCGTGTGCCAGGATGTACGAAGTACGAGGTATCGCCAAGCACCTCGTTTTGGTTTTACTGCAATCTAAGCTCTTTCTTTTAATAGTTTTTACCTCTTCACGAGCGTGTGTTACACCCTACCCAAGGCGTTGTTGCAGACCCGCCCGATGCAACCCCCCCCCAAGCAGCTACCGTTGTTGTCACCCCTCCCCTCAGCCACACCATAGCACCCGCTGACAACCGTATCCCCCCTGTCGCCCCCTCAACGTTACTGACAGACGGTAAAGGCTGCTGCTCGCACGGTCACTCTGACAGCAGATCCTTCGCTAGTATCGTCAGCTGTGACCCAGGGCACTTCCTTCGACCTTCGCTCTCTCAAGCCCGGAATGCTCGTCGATGCCATCGTTGACAGCGTGCTCTCCAACGGAATCCTTGTGAGTGCAGCCCTTTGTATAGATAGTGCAAAACAGTACTCCCGAGATATACACAGAAGCGTTGTCGTTTGACGTATTTTCGACCAATGCGTTCCTTTCCCCCCTTGCACTCCTTCACGCCATCATACGCCAAGAAAATGATGGTGATGACGTGTGGTCACCAGCTGCAACCCACCAGCTGCATGTATTAAGTGACAGAAAAACGAGTTCTGTTGATTTCGAGGCGACGAAGTACCTATGTCTACCAGATATTGTAGAGTTGATTCTGGTCTTGCGGTTACAGTTACGAAACATGTAGTGTACTCGTATGCAATTACAGCACGGTGTCCGTAGCATGGACAACTACACATGCATATTTTAGGGCATCATTACTCTTCGACATGTTCGCTTAAAAATTGGTGCTCCAGTAGGTGCCATAACCTCGACTATAATAGGTTAGGGTAAGTTCGCCACAAGTACCAACTAACCGGATGGAGTTGAGTTGCCTCTCATATGACATGATTCGACTCCAGGTGAGTTTCCTCGGCTACTTCGCTGGGTGCGTGGACCACAACAACATGCCCCTAGTCTCCGCCGACGGCAAGGACGAGCCCAAAGGATGGCGAGCGCTCTTCAGACCGGGACCAGAACCTGTCCGCGCTCGAGTTCTGCTGGTGGACTACGTGAACAAGGCTATCCGCCTGACTTTTCGACCTCATCTGATGGAGATGAGAGCACCGTCTGGCTTGCCGCCGACCGGGGCATTGTTGGATGGGGAGGTCGTCAGGGTTGACCCGGCGTTGGGCCTTCTCCTCACGGTAAGGAACAAGATTGTGAGGGGAATAGCAACAAGCTACCCCAGTGGGAGTGTACTAGAGTTGGGCTTGTTGAGCATGAGCAGGAAAGATTGGATTGCACGCGGTGGTATTGCGGGTTTACTATGCTGTGGCCATGCTGTTGTCAAAAAGTTGGTGGCCATCGCTGACGAAAGGCACGCGCTAACAACACGCATCCTTTCGTGTCGAGTGACGTGCGATGTTATCCTTAGTGTAGTGTCGTTTTGTCGTTTAAAATTATTTGCGTTTCGCCAAAGCATTGGCGTGCTCAATGCACCATGATACCGTGTTTTGAAAGTAGAGATGCCGCCGTCTCGCCTTTGTATGCATGCTTCTGTTATTCCCTGCTGATGCGCTGTCTAATATAGCATTGCTTGCTCCGATGTGGGAGGTCCGACGCCGTCCCTTAACATGAATAGTGTTCCACACAGAGGCAGTCATGCTTGATCTTCGCGATCAACACCGCTATTTGATTGCACGATAATGACCACTCCGACACCCTGCCTTCCTTCGCCTATCTTGTCTTGCTTGAACTTAACACTCTTAAAGGTGCCGTCAACGGAAAAAGACGACGGAAGCGAAGTTGCCGGCAACGCCCCAGCCGCCAAGAAGGAAAGAGGGCAGGGCCGTCGAGAACGTCGAGCGGCGGTGGCAGCAGCGTCAGCATCAGCAGCAGCAAGAGCAGCTGGCGGCGACGAAGACGACGGAGATGATGAAGAAAAGAAGTGGAAGACCATCGGCGCATACGTGCACATCTCCCGCATCTCCGATGAGAGGGTGGAGCACGTGGAGAAGTCGTACAAGCCTGGACAAAAGGTATGCACGACCAGGTCGGAATGTTTTTGTTATGCCCCTTACCCCTTACTCGAGCCTGAACGTGGACTGTGTTCGACGCAAGTGTTGCTTGTACCGCTGTTTCCCGGTTGATGAGCTTGTGTTTCATAGCTAGCTTGTGTTTCATAGCTAGCTTGGCTAACGTTGGTGTTGTTCGGCACGCGTACTGTGTGCGTAACTTTCCGCCATGATGAAACCTTGACATGGCAGGAATCCTGATGAGATAAACGCAGTCTTGCCGGTAGAGATGGAAGAAATAGAAGCAGGCAACAACTCGTTGGTGGTCAAGTCTCGGTCTCTCTTTTTTGTGTAAGTTGTGCGAGGCACGTTTCTCCTTGAATACCCCCCAACTGCACCCCCCGGGCGCACCACCGCTATGGTGGTGGATGGATCAGGTCCGGTGTCGCGTTACGGGATCCTCGCTGGTTGAAGGCTGGGCGGCGGCGTCCCTCCGACCCTCCGTACTGTCGGCGGCCGTGCTGCGGTACGAAGACCTCCAACCGGGTTCCCTTGTGGAGGGGGAGGTCGCGGCGGTTGAGGCGTTCGGTCTCCTCGTGAAGCTGGGAGAAGGTGTTCGAGCCCTGGTGCCCAGGAATCATCTGGGAGACGTGACCATCAAGAACCCCAAGGCTCGCTTCAAGGTACTGGTACTGCCTTGGGCATCTGGTACTTGTGCTTGATTCATGTCTCTGGTTCTCTTCGCCTGAAGCTTTCCAGTTGCTAGGCTAGGGTTGGTTCCTGTTCCTCGTTGCCGCTTTTTGAGATGCGCACCGCGATGCTCGCGCATCTGTCAAACGGCTTCGCTCCGTGTGCACGTTTATTTTTGTGTGGTGTTGTATCGCGTGCTTGCGACACTTGATGTACTCGCTTTGCTATTATCGTCAAGACATTTGTGTTGTTTGGTGTGGTATGTAGAAGGATAAGAAAATGTAGGGGGGTGTCGATGATGCAAGATGTATTTGCTACACTCGACTGTCGGGATGACGACACTTACCACCAAGATCGCTGAGACACCCAACCCGTAGGAAGCCATGATTTTTGCACGATGGCACCCATGATTAGCGCTCTGTTCGGCTCCATCGTCAAGTCTCTCGTAAATTGCACGCGTAGCGGCAAATTGGATGGTGTTGGTGTATGATACATAATTGATAGATGCATTTGCCAGTTTGATGCCTCCGTTCTGAGAAAGCTACAGTTTTCAGCAATTCGTTGCGAGCAGCAACACACACGGACACGTCATGTATTGTTGGTTTCACGAAAGATATGTAGGTATGAAGGGGTCTTGACATGTGATTTTATTGGTTGCGTCGGTCACCCTTGTGGTCGGTTCGGATCCCGTCAGGTGCTCTATGTGCCAAGCTTCAAGGTTGTTTTCCAATTGTCGTTTCCCCCCACCTACAGCACAATTAATAACGTCTAGTGTACCTGTTCCCTATGGTCACAAATCTGCCCAGTCCGCTTGTGCTGCAGGCTTGCGATAACACTTCGTTCATGTGTAGAACCGCGTGTCCTGAGCGAACAAGTTTGTTTCTGAACGCACTGCCGTGCTGGGCCACCTCTTCGGAGGTTGGTGTCCACGCTCCCACGCATACAGCATACAGCATACAGCACTTTTTGTGTGTCTCGTTGTAAGCGTGGCTTGGCTTATTTCATGCTTTCCTTTTTCTGGGTGACAGGTTGGAGCGCGTGTAAAAGGGCGAGTCCTGACAGTGGATCCAGGGTCGAGCAAGTCCACCTTGACCCTAAAGCGCTCCCTGGTCAAGGACAAGCGGGAGGTCATCTCAACGTACACGGAGGTGTGTACTGTGTTGTGAATGTGAGGCGAGTTTGGAGTGATCACGCCAGCCACATGACCAAAATATTCCCCTGTTTTACTTGTTTTGTCCCGTCGCAGTTGTTCTGGATGTATCAGGCGGCGGCGTGTAGGAGGAAAGACACATGAAAGTTTTGTTGTCCCCTCGCCATTCTTTTTTCGTGCTTGCCTTCATTTTGTCGAGAATGATCCAGTCGTTTGTTCACACTTGCCTTGTCGATCGTGAAGTTTGATGTTTGTTTCCGTTATGATCATCTTCCAATTTCTCTGGGCATACGGTTACCAGTCGATCCAACACGTCTTCAAGGTGCAAAGGTTGCAAGGTGACGTATTGGACCAATCAGCGTGACTGGTCATACCATGCTTTGCCAACGAGCCCAACGCCACTTGGAAGTGTTGTGGTGGTGCCGCTGTCCCCAGCACTGCAAAATATCGCCCCCATCACCGGCCTTTTGCTGTGCTCCACCAAAAGGGCGTTTGAGAGTTCGAAGTGCGAAACACGTGCCGACGTAGTCCACTGATTTTTTTGGGAGTCGATCTCAGGCACAGCCAAACTCTCTCCAACCAGCCCAAGATATAGTGCACCACGTCTGAAGATGACATCAACTCCGTACCATCTTCGCAACGGACACAAACGGGACGTAGCCCGTGTTTTTGGGTACTCACGGCAAACAGCACCGCTTTGCATATGATGCCGCAAGTGGGTTCGGCCTTGCGAGCTTGTTGGTTTTCGTGGTTCATACGTCTATTTATGCGTACAACCGACCATGCTGGTGTGCCCCGAAGTACTGTTGGAAATGCAGTCAACGGAGTTTCACTGCTCAAAAACAATCAATTCGCGGTGTTGCATAACCGCAGTCTATGCCTACGATCAAGACATGTTCGTACCATAGTCTACGAGAAGCCTTGATCTTCTGAGACCGCCATATGCATGAGTGCTGTGCTTGTACGTGGGCATCCGGCACCCTCACCTGCACACGACTCAATGAAGAGTATATTCCGTTTTGGATGGTAGACTTGTAGGGCGAATGCTTGGAAAGTACAAGACTCGCCCAGGAGCGTTCTTGGGGCTTACCTACATCTGGTGTGATTGGGCAACACACGGAATGGGGTAACCGCACCCGGTTGCAGAAACCAAAGCGCAATCTATATGATAGACGGGAGGTGGGTCCGATTTTCGATTGCCGCCTCTCCCTCCAGCTCAGGAAAAGAGATGAAAACATTCGAGAGTGGTAAGACAACAAGAGAGCGGATAGGAGAAAGTGCTGAAAAGGGTCCTCGCGAGGGCATACGGGGGGGGTACCAAAATGGTGCCTCCCCTCTTCGTGGAGACCAGTTTTGGCATCTCTGTTCGAAGTATCTCATTGTCGACAACGCTCTCGGGGACTGATTCTCTTTAAACGGGGATGCGAGAGAGAAATGCGGGGATGTGTCTTGAGGACCCTCCCAACACTTTCCAGTGACCCTCCCGAAGAAAGGATTGCAACATTGAACTCGGTTTTATGGAGCTATCCTACGCCGCTGCCTGTTGCTCCGTGGCGACCGGCGCTTGAGCTCCATCCACATTTCTTCTACCTTCATGGTGGTTTCGTTGAAGCTGGTGTTGTCATGTACAGCTCGCTTATGTTGTGATGTTTTAACTCCACGCGGGCATGGGGTGCTTGCTGAGCCCGACAAAACCCCCTGCACCACCTCGTCACAAGCATGACCCACATGGATCCAAGGTGTCTGAAAAGCCATCCTGTTTCGCAAACTACTAAAGTAAGGTCGAATACAACAGGGCCGATCAATCGGCTCTCCTGCTGTCCGTTGAGGCGAGGTTGAGAGCCGGGCATTGATTGCGAAACCAGTTTTACGCGGTTGGCACGATCTGCAGCCGACGAGGCTTGGCGTTCATCAGGAGGATCAAATACCGCATTCCGACAAATAGACGAATGCTAACGACACGCGTGTGTTGTGTCTCGGGTGAGTTGCCTGCCATGTGCTTGGACCAAGAGCCAAAATTTCAGAGCAGCACATCTCGTTTGTTTGAAACCTCATAAGGGTGTCTAGAACATTCTGAGAGTTTTCATGTCTTACAGCTCGTTTAATTAGAAAACGAAGAGAAATACGAAAAAACTGCCAGTTTCGGTTGTCTTTCCTGAAAAGCGATGCTCGAAAGCGAGACTCGAGGTTCAATGCAGCGGCTTGACGACCATGATCATGTCTTTGAAGACCAAACAACGCTTGTCTGTTGTCAAAGTCACGGATTTGCTTCACAGGGTCATGGTTGCATTTCCAATGGCTGGTTCACAGCGCCCTAAAACTGACATCCCAATTATTGCTTTCTTCTCATGTCGCATTTTACATGTTACTTTGTTGTTCGACAGGCGAAGGAGAGAGAGGGTACGGCGTGCACGGGTTTCGTGACCAAGGTGGCTCCGTTCGGGCTGCATGTGTCGTTCTATGGGAACGTCTTCGGACTGCTACCCTCCAAGGCCCTTACCAAGCATGGCATCCAAGATCCTTCGGAGGCCTTCACCGTAGGACAGGTGCGCACGGCCACGCGTGCATGTGTGCTCCAACATTGTGCTTGATTGTTCTCTCCGGCGTTCGTGTTACATGTCGATATGATGGTTGCTGCCCCCAATGCGCGCGGTTGAGTTGCTGACAGTGTCACCATGTTTCTTGGCCGAGTCAATGGTGTTTTTTTACCAGATCCACCCCGCTTAAGGGAATGGCGGTAGCAGGGGCGCACTAGCGCCTGCTTTCAACGCTTGAACCATGGCATACATTACCGCATTCGGCCTGTTCCGTGATGGCGGATTGTTCCAGGATTTTTCTGTGAAGTACAGCAGTCGTCCCTCGGTTTAGGACACTATCGTCAGAGCACTTGCCCTGATGAAATACAACTTTTTTCGAGGGGCACGGTGCCCCAAGGAATGTACAGCGGGAGAACGGGTATAAATCTTGACAACACTCGTCACCGGACTATGGAACTCGCGACACCTGTTTGAACTGAACAACCGTACCAAGTGTCCTTGAACAAGGGACGGCTGTATGTCCCTCGTCTCGAGAACATCCTACAATACTGATGCACACTTGGCAGGTCACACTTGTCACTACATAGCTTGGTTATGTTCTGGTGTATCTGACCTTGGACTATGCTTTTTCTAAATGCATCTTGTCATAGTTGTGTCGTCTGATATTCGACTCTTCGCCCGTTTCTTCCTAAGCCTTCTGTGACTATTGACCCTTTGTGCCCAAATTGGTTGGATGCAAGCCGTTTCTGACGTAGGCGATTTGCCTCTTGTACCAATGCATATATCAAGCTCAGTCTCGACTCGTGCACCAACAGCCCGTGGTGACCTCTTGAGGACATGACCCCCGGGTATAAAATGCGACGAAGATTAGGCGGCATCTCCGAAGCTCCCTCCGTTCGGACGGGAGATCGTATTTGCTTTGCCCCCGGCCTCTGACCTGCTGAGACACGATTTTGACCCCCACGTCTCAGTGGGATTGAAAGCCGGGTACATTTTGCCGTCCCTTGGCTAATTTGCCGCATGTCTAGAGTTGTAGCATCGGGTGACGCATAATTGATGTTTCATGGTCTTGGAACTATACGAGGAGACGGCACGTTTGGCATGCTCCGGTCGGCGCTGCATTCTTCGATCCTGCTTGGGTTCCAAAGTGTGTTCTGTTGTGCACTACATGTACAGCTGATAGGGTAGGCTCCCTAGGGTTTCTCGTGTTCTTTTCGAGGTTTGGTTCAACCTTCTTTCTTTACCGTCGCAACAGAACTTTTGTTCGATGATATTCCTTTTGTCTCGGGCGAACGATCGTGACCCGTTTCATGTCACTACCCGAAAAGGTTTTCTGCATTTATTTGGTCATTGCACGTTTGTTCCTCACTCACACTCAAGCTCGCCCGACTGGAATGGTTGTGACGCGGCGCCGCCCTCGTCAACGTGCTGCTGTGCTGTGTCGAATATGGTTGTGTGTTGATCAGGTGGTCGGCTGTGTGGTGCGATCGTGCGATGTGACCACCTACCCTCCCAAGCTTTCCCTCTCTCTCGATGTTGCTGGGAAGACGGAGGATATGAGCGGCACCGTTGCTGCTGAGGAGGTAAGCCAGCCAGCTGACACGAGAGACGGACGATATCCCTTTGCGAATCGAAACAGCTTTGTTGTTTCGTTCCAAGCTGTGCTACAACGTTGGCCATCGGCCTTGATCTTTCCGTTTGCCTCTCTGTATCCTAGCGACCCGGTAGTAGTTAATTGAACGCGACAAGGGAATGGCTCGCGTACGAGCCGCGCGTGGCGACCGCTCGAGGACCATGACCCCCGGGTATAAAATGCGACAAAGATTAGGCTGGAATTTCGGAGACTGTTCGGGGGTTCCGGGACGAATGTCACTTTTGCTTTGCATTGCCCAACTTCTCAGCGGCGTTGAAAGCCGGTTACATTTTTGGTCCTCCCAGCGTTGCACATTGCATACTCGACAATTAAACTTTTAGGGTACGTTCCGCGGATGTAAGAGCGTGGTATGTGGCTGGATATCCATTGTTTCTCCGCAATTGGCAACCCATGCTGTTAACCGTACCGCTGCAGCGCGAGAGGGACCCCCACGTCTTCCATTCCACGCGGTATCTAGTACGGTTGCTGTTCGCGGCACGAGGGGACTCGTCACTTGTCACATGTCTCCTGCCACTTGTTCTGTTTTGTGTATTGTCACGTCATGCTGCAACATGTGAAGTAGCAATAACCAAGTTTAAGGTTTCCCATCTTGTTGGGTCGACACAAAGCCAAGAAGTCCGTCAAGTCACCTCAAGTCCAGTTGTTACTCCTTCTACACCGAGCGATGTAAATGAACCCATAGACTTTTATTCTCAGCCAGAAGCCAACAGGCGCCCATTCTCTCTCTAACTCTACCCCCCTCTTATGTACGTTGGTGGTTGCCGGTTGATGTGTACAGGACGATTCGGATGGCGAGGGAGCAGCAGCATCGTGTCCGTTCTCTCCCGGTGACATATTGTCCGGAGTCGTCTCTGCCACCCAAGACACGGAAGGCAAGGTAGTCGTCGACCTCAACCTTCCGGCTGACACCACTCCTGGGGAAACGTCGTCGGAAAAGAAGAAAAATATGAAATCTCGAGCCAAGCAGGCGGCGGTAGCCGCGACCGTGCGGGGGGTCCTTCCGTACCCCCACTTGGGCGATCACGCTTCCGTGTGCGGGAAGACCCTTGCGGCAGAATTAACCCCCGGGACTGTCATCGACCAGCTCCTGGTGCTCGAAGTCGACAAGATGGGGACGCCCATGGTGACCCTCAAGCCTCTGCTTCTGTCGGCAGTCGCCCGCAGCGGGGAAGACAAGGAGGCGTTTATGCCAGGGGCTACGTCGGACGTTACCCCTGGGGACCTAATCGCTGGGTACGTTATCCGGGTGGAGTCGTTCGGAGTGTTCGTGAGGTTCTTGGGCAGGTTCACGGCGCTGTGCCCGCGGTCCATGGCGGCGGACCGGATGGTGCAAGACCCTCGTGGGATGTTCGAGGAAGGCGACAGCGCAAGGTGGGTGATACGTCGTTAGGTCTGTCTTGGCCGTATTGATTGTTGGCGGTATGCGGTTTTCAAGGGGAGAGGCTTCTGGTGTGTTACGTGGCTTTGCTCCGTAGGTCACCTCTGAGCTAGCTCGTGGGCGACTGAGAGGACTTCTCGAGTGCGTTTTGTTGCCCATGATTTTGCGCCACGGCACTGAAACAAGCCGGCTCATTACCGTCCTTGCAAGATTCTGCTCAAGCATCACCACTGATGTCATTAACCTCCACCTCCGTCTCCTTCTTGTCTCTGTTGACCATCAAGGTGTGTCGTACAGCGTGTGGACGAGGACACTGGGCGCTTGGTGGTGACCCTTGACCGCACCACGGTACCCACCTCCCCAGGCCTCTACCTCCGATCCCTTCTCTCGGAGACCTTCGCTTCCGCTGCTGCTGGTGCTGCAGCAACGGCTACCGACAACCCTGGCGGAGGCGAAGGCGCTGATGCTACCGCAGAGGTAGCTCGGCCTTGGGGGCGGCTTGAGTTTGGGTCCACGACGAACGCGGTGGTGGTTGCGTTGAAGGAGTACGGGGTTGTCTTGAAGGCGAAGGCGTCGAGTGGAAAGCGGGACAAGGACAAGGGGGGGCAGCTGATGGTGTGTCCTCTGGAGCACTCGATGGACGGTGTTGAGGAGGGGAACGAGGTCAAGGTACGCTGCTACGTGTGATGGCTCCACCTACCTCGCGTCAGTTCTTCCCGTCATCTGATCTATTCGCGCCCGAGTCAGCCTCTTTTTGAAGAGTTCGCTTCCAGCCCGTGTGTTTGTTGCGTCCATTGTGCGTGTATGCTCTCTTTTCATGTAGGCGCCATGGATTAGCAAGATTAGTTTTACGTTACTGCCATGTACATGTATTTTCCTGGTAGTCATGACTGATCCCCCATGACGCGTGAGGTCATGACTCAAATGAAACGAACGCGTTCTGCTTCCTCTCGGCTGCCCGTTGCTTCTCTGCTGATGCTATATCACCAGGTTCGTGTGATAGGGATGGACCTGGAGAAGGGCGTCGTCGAGGTGACAATGGACACCGACCTTGTCAAGGTGAGTCGAGGTGACGAAGTACAAAGAATCTGACATCCACCGTTCGCGGCAGTGATGTACATACCACACAAGCTGCCTGGAATTGAGCGTAATAGAGTGCCGTTGTTGGCTGTGTAGACATTTGTTCCCTAGCCTGCTGGGAAACGCCCATGTTGAACGAGGCGGCTGCTGAATTGAGGACACTTGATGCTCGCCAAACGTTTAGATGAGACGGGTTGGCGGGCTGTTTTTTTGTTTCATTTTGCTTTGAGAGGCAGTCGGTCCTCCCCGCCGTCTTTTCTTTTTTTGGAAGAGGGAGGGTAAAGGAAACGCCACCGTGTGCGTATCGTTGCTGTCGCTTCGCTCGACTGATTGTGCCGTTGGGGGTATTGACTGATCGTTAGCTGATCGTGCTGTTGGGAGCATGCTTTTCTCAGTCCAATGCTCCCATGGAAACTCGTCTTCAGCATGCTTGTTTGTCTTTTCGCTCAACATTTCGGCGGAAATGCAGCTCTACATCTTTCCACGCGAGTCGACCTCACGATTAATTGGTTGTAAGGCTTTTGTAGTCTCGGAAGGCTAGGCAGTTTTCCTTTGGGAGATTGATGTATTTTTGTAGAACACAACACGCTGGCCCAGCTAATCGCGGGGAAGGCTCCGGCCAGTTCCCCTTGGTCCGTTTCATGCCAGCAACATAAATCTAGGGCGACCGCCTTCGCCAGCAAAAGCTAGCAAAGGCCCGCCCAAGACACCGTGTGCCCGACCCTCGGTGTTTCGGAAAGCCCCCCTTTGTCCTGTCATCCACTGCTGTTCCGTAGAGGCAGCCTTGTTATCATCAGCTCTCGCCCGGTGCGCCTAAAAGCACCCGTGCTTCCGGTGTCAAAAATGATGTTAGGAATATGGAGTGTGGCGCATCGGGAGGTTGCTGATTGAGAGGCTGCTGCGTTTCGGTCGTGCGGTGTTTGGTATTGTGACTTTTTCGTAAGGGGGGCATTTCTCCGGGGCATGCGGGGAGTCAGTACCCCGCTGCGTCGATCGGGTACGGTGATATTTGTGTAACAGTCTACATTTGTGCGGTATGTAGGGTAGTCCTGTCCTCCATCGGCCGTTTTGCTTGTATGACGGAGAATAAGAAGGTGGAATTACTTGAAATTAGTATAGAAATAAAGTTTGTGTCTCTCAATCGAAAATAAAACGGCCGATGGAGGACAGGCCTAATGTAGGGTTTTGTTCGACCAAGACGATTCCTCGGTGTGTTGCGATTGTCAAGAGGTAGGCTTGACGAGGGCCGGTCGAACTCACATGTGGGGAATTAAATTGATGATGTGTCAGCCATCAGCGCCCCAAGCTGTTATGCTGTTGGTGTGATCGGTGAACGTTGCCAATAACAGCAGCAACCTTGTTTTGTTTTGCTGGAATATCGTTCGGTGTTACGGTGATGTCCATGTGGGAGTAGAACACCTTTTGATGCACTCCTCTCACTTGTGTTTTTCCGCATCAAGATTACATGAAACGCAATGGTCTATAGCCCGAGACCCGGCAGAGTTTTTTATGCCAGTATGGTACGCACTATTCACACACATACAAATGTGGGTTGTGTCCGTGCAGGCTGGGCGTTCGAAACGCCTCCGGGCGATGGTCCCGCTAGACCCAGGGGAGACCGTTCCCGCGAAGGTGTTGGTGGCCAAGCCCAATGCCAAGTGGGCGGTAGCCGTCTCCGATGATGGACAGGGCCGCCTCTTCGTCCTACAGGTGTGCAGCACCAAAATCTTGCCTCGCGCTGCTTCGAAGGAATACTGCTGGTGTCGAGGCTGCTGATGTGAACACTGTCGCTTTACGTGTACTGTACAACTTATCAGGGTGTCAGTTTTTTTTTCTTGAGTTTCTTTTTGTATGGATCCCTTCAGCATGGATATTAATGAACAAAGTCCACGAACCATAAGATTTTTTACCATATGTTACTTGCGTTAATGGGGTGCACGGCTCTACCATACTTTGAGGCAAGCACCCCCGAAATGATTGTTGGTTGATCAAACACTCTTCAAAAGAACTACGGCACATCGCTCATGTACAGGTCACCCGTTGATCTTTATTAGTATATGGCCTTGCATGCGGTTGGAGGGCGCGGATGCCTAGTCTGCAGTCTGCACAGAGCAGTTGGTGTGGATGGCTCAAGTCCGCAGCAGGTTTGTCGCTGAAATGCCCATTTCCCCGAATAGCATTACCCGTTCTCTCTCAGTTGTCCATTCGATTTTCCCCATCAGCGAGAAGCTACTACGTGGACTGCAACCCTTCGAGCGCATTGCTACTGCTGTCTATGGCTACAGCGAATCCATTGTTACACTGGTGGTGTCGCCCTTGATCACTTCTTGATTGCATTTCAATTCCGATGGCCCTCTCAGGTGGCAGATTTTCATTGTCCTCACCGAACCTGCGAAGACGCCGGCCTCTGCCCAGGCACCCCGACTGCTGACCCTGCCGACCTCTCGTCGTGCGAAGCCAAAAGAAAAACCTTCGTGGCTAGAGTGGGGGAGTCGTTTACACCAGGCCTCGAGGGCTATTGGGAGACAAGGGAAGACATGGGAGCCAGTGGTTGCAATCCTTACGCCGGAGCGGTGCTGGTTGTCCAGGAGGATGCCGGGAACACGGGCAAGCGAAAGGTGCTTTCTTAAATTTGCATCGGCGGGTGTACCGTAGGTGACATGACGGGAAATAACACACCCCCTTGACTCCAATGTTGAAAGCTCGGTTACTTCACGACCAAGAGGATGCCGAAGGCAAATGATTCGTATTAGGAAAGCTCCCGACGATCAGACTCCGACACTTTCGGCACCGCCTCGTGCAACGTGTATTGATGTTTTGATGTTATTGGCTTGACGTGGTGTATTCAGTGCTCCTACCCTCTAGCATCCGACCGGAGCAACTGATGCCGACGATTTGGGTGGTCTCAGGTGCACCCCTGATTCATCTGTTTTATTTTGGTCTTACTAGCCTCAAGCGTCGGTGGCGATGGTTACGACAGATGCTGGTACTCATACTTATGTTGTTGGTTGACCTTGGGTCAGCAGCCTGGGACAGCCAATGCTTACCCATGGTCGGCTACACAACTCCGGCGATGGACTTGTTGAAGTAAAAAACTGAACGACCGTCGTTGCGATGACGCTGGCCACTGGACTCCCACCATGGTTTTATTGAACGCGATCAGTGTTTCGTGTTCGATCAACCCATGGTAGGAGTCGAGTGGCCAGCCTCGTCGCAACGACGGTCGTTAAGTTTCTACTTGAACAAGCTCATCGCCGGAGTTGTGTAGCCGGTCATGGCTAAGCCTTGGTCGTCCCGAGCTGCTGCTGACACAAGGTCAATCGACATGAGTATGCGCAGCAGCATGTGTCGTAACCATCGCACGAGACCAGTGCGTGGCATCCTCGTAGCAGCTGTAGGTGGGGCTACCACTTCATCCAGCCTATCGCTGGAGTCTTGCAGCAGGCCAACTGGTATGTGTTAGCATTGGTTAACCCAAGCCACGACGCTCAAGGTCAACACCATGGGTATGCGTATCATGGATTTGTCGTCACCTGCGCCACCGACGCTTGAGGCTTGAGGCTCACATCACAGGACCAAACAAAACAGACGACACGTACTTCAAGTATATACCCAACGGAGCGCCGTTTGCTGGGTAGGCAACCTGTGACCACCGAAGTCGCCGCATCAGCTGCACCGGTAAGGATGTAAGAGAGAGCTGAAGAGTGGATCGGAGGGAGGGAGGGAGGGACAGCTTCAACAACGGCAAGACAACATGAATGCTCTGCACCGCAAGGTCATGTGCCTATGTTATGATAACGCACATGAGATAGTTGGTCTTGGTTACCTCAAGTTGTTTTTTTGTATCTTCGCTTTTCGAACTCTCCTGTCTTATCTTGTGTTTTCCGAAGAGCCGTCGCAGTACTCGTGGAGAACACCTGGATCTGGGGGAAGGTGCGAATAATGGCGAATGTGGTTCAGATGGTAGTCAAGACGCCGCGGCGCTCATGAAGGCTGGCAGGGTTCCGCTCGGCAAGATCAAGACGGGGGCGAAGGTGAGCACTTTCTTGTCGTGTCCTGTAGAATGTGTGGCGAACGAAGACGAAACCAGGCCGGATCGCGGCTTCATGCCTCTCTGGCTTGTTGGACAAGTTCAGCACCACATTGTTGGCAAACGTACGGACCATTGGGACATTGGCATTGGTATCCGAATGGTTCGGTAAGTTCAAAGAGAGCGCTGGTAGATGCGTGTTTTCCCGTGGCCCAAACGCATCTGTTGGCCGGCTGGTACACGCTTCGCTGTGCATGCCGCGAAAGGCCTCTAATTCGCAAGGTGCTTTCGACTATTCGACGTAGTTCGGCTCATGTACTGATGTTTTTCTCTGGTCTCTTGATGTGCTGGCTCGTCTGTGCATGTTCCGGTGGACGGTGGACGGTGGACGACAACACAGGTGGTGTGTGAGGTTCGGTCCGTGCACTGGGACCGGCTGGACGTGAAGGTAGCAGTCCGGTATCCCAAGAGCTATGGGCCGTCCTCTGGCAAAGTCCGCAATCGACAGGCAAGCGTGGAGGAGGACGAGAAAGGCGATCCAATCGGGGTACACGACGTGCATTATTCTCTTCTGTTGCCCTTGAAGTTGTCACATGGCAACTGAACCGAGGTCGTATAACCTACCCTCTCGGTATTTTGTAGTGTAGAGGATATCCCTCTGGCCCATCCGTCGTACTCTACGGGGAAGCGACAAAGGGGAACGGGTGGTACCACGTACAATATTACAACACGTAGTTGCCGTACTGCCACACGAGTAAACATGAGTCGTTTTGCTTGCTTCCGTCCTTGGTGAGAAATCTTGGTTTTGAGCAACATGTCTGCCTGATCGGCTCGCGCGCATGATATGATCGCGGCGGCTTCCGCGAAACGTTGCTTGAAAATCCGCAATATATTTTCCCGTGTACTCCTTTTCTTGTGGTCGTGAAAAAAAGGGCGGTGGGAGTGCATACAACGCTGGTATAGATGTATATTTATCTAGGGCCAAGGACGAGGTCTAGGAGTGATCCGACCAAGTGATTTGGTCAAACAAATGCGAATGCAAGGAAATATATTCCGCCGCGCCCTCCGACTTCTCCACGGGGCGAAGGTCTATGAGCCCTTGCGACAGAAAGCGTTATTTTTTTCACGCGCCGCGACATCGCGCGTACGAGACTCGTCTCTTGGCCTTGTCGAGACCAGGTGTATGACCGTATGAGTTTCGACCGCGATCCCGCTTACATTCAAAATACAAGATCTGTTGATTCCTCCATGTCTACACACGTATTTTGTTGTGTTTCGTTTGTGGTGTTGGTCCATTGTAACGATTTTTGGTCCAGTTCAAGGCATCTAGAATGCCGTGGGAGTGATGTGCCCTGCGCTGCGCTTCGCACCGATTGAGTGGGACTGCACCGTGGTGGTGGTCGACACGGTTTGGAGTGCGAGACGAAGAAGCAGGACGCATGAGAGATTTGTGTCGTCTCCCCCTGACAAGTATTTACACTGATCCTGCAGGGCGACGGCAATGTGGATGCGGACGGTACGAGCAAAGGCAGCAATAAGAGGAGACGAGAGGAGATAGACAAAACCAAGGCCCAGGAGGCAAAGCCTCCGCCTGAGCCTGAGCCTGAGCCTGACGCGAAGGCCAAGAAACACCGCAAGCAAATGGTCCGGATTCGAGCCAAGATCCATTGCACTGCGGCCGGACTGCCGGGGCTTGACGGTCCTGCGGAAGGACAGGGGAACGACACCGCCGGAGGTGGTGTGGCCGACCTGCCTCAGTGGCATCCGCTGGAAAAGGTGGGTTAGGAGGGTTGGGGGGGTTTCGTGTTCGCGCTGCCGTTTTTTGTTGAGAAGAAACAATAGCGGCCGCGTTTATGTGGTCATCAGTTGAACAGTTGGGCCAGCGCTCATTGGTGTAACATGTCTTGCAGTTTGCATACGCAATGCTGTACTCCACGGCACGTGTGACTTGTGTGGACGCTGCTCGAACCGATACGAGAAGGCAAGGATCGTCAAATACTTTGGTCTTGCACTGCTGTTGCTGAGGGCAGTTAATTCTCATTTTCAAGGCTGACGCTTTCGTGCATGCAGCGTAGATATGAATTCATGAGAACGCTGTGCTGTTCGGTACCATTTGTTTCAGTGTGCGCTTACCCTAATATAATAAGCTTTCACTGACAAATCGGGTTGTCTCGGCTATTTGTGTTGCCACACCACGCTTTCAGTTCCACGTTGGACAAGTTCTGACAGCCCGAGTGCTCCACTCCGAGGACATGGTTCAGAAGGACCCCAAGTCCGACTTCGTCTTCCGACTCCTCGAGTTGGGACTAGTGGACCGCGGCGGCACTGTCAGCATGGGCCAATTGAGGCTAGGCGAAGGCGAAGGCGAAGGCGAAGGAGAAGGCGAAGGAGTTGTATCTGTGGGGAGAGTGCCTGCGGTGCCGTGGTGGGGAGAGTGTCCCCCCAAGACTGGGGAAGTGCACAGGTACACACCTGGATGCGTCGTCCCTTGATAGTCTTGACACCATTATTCCTCCGGATTGAAGAATTGACCTGGTTGGTTTTGATCATGGTTCGACGTTGTGTTCTTACTCGTATCGCCTTCCGTTGGAAGTACGGAGAACCACTTGCACATTTTTGATGCATGGGTCGTGACCAGCTAGCGAGGTGCTGTGACGATAAAAAGTTATCCCTGTCTTACGTACGGGCTTCGGCCCCTTCATGGTGACAGATACCTGGTAAGCTTCGGAGCACTCGCTGAGTTGATTTCACACGCCGATGTATGCAAATTGGCCTACTGTAGGGCGGGGTTACCGTTGTCTGGAGGTGCTGTGACGATAAAAAGTTATCCCTGTCTTACGTACGGGCTTCGGCCCCTTCATGGTGACAGATACCTGGTAAGCTTCGGAGCACTCGCTGAGTTGATTTCACACGCCGATGTATGCAAATTGGCCTACTGTAGGGCGGGGTTACCGTTGTCTGGAGGTGCTGTGACGATAAAAAGTTATCCCTGTCTTACGTACGGGCTTCGGCCCCTTCATGGTGACAGATACCTGGTAAGCTTTCTAGCACTCCCTTACCTGATCGACCCGCTCGTAATTTTAGTGGAATGCTCTGCCCTGAGGGCCTCGGACTTGTCATGGGTATATTGGATGCCTGCACCGACAAATAAGGCGAATGAAGCCTTCTGTTGGTGAACTTGTGTTATAGATCGCGGTTGTAGTGGATGCTTGTGCGGAACTGCTGTCGTCATGGAAAAGGCACATTAATTGTAGTTCCGTACGGTAGGAGTTGTGAGTTGGTGGGAAAGTGCGGTGACGATAAATGTTATCCCTGCCTTACCTTTGGCTCTGGCCAGTGCATGGTGACAGATACCTGGTAAGCTTCAGGGCACTCGCCCTGATTCTTGTGTGTTTTGCTTTTTGATGTGATTTTATATGACACCTGTCATGTCGGTCGATATCGTTCTTTTTTATATTTCGTCGAGGTTCCCGACATGCCCGTTTTGTGATTGGCCTGAGAAGTGTAGTGTATCGCATTGGAGATCGATTGGCCCTCTCATTTTTTTGATAGGGTCACAGGTACGGGTATTGAACGCAAGTCTAGTCGAACACGTTTCATTTGCAACCAATTGCTTCCCCCCCTTCCCCTTCCCCTACCCCTTGTCTCGCCTGGCCATGCCAGGGGTGTCATCACGGAGGTCGCAGAGCACGGATTGCTGGTGTCGTTGTCCAACTCGGTTCGTGGCTTGGTGCCATTGGCAAATATCAGCTCTGACAGGTCTAACGCGACAGTCACCGCCAAGAAGCTGGGCGAAATGTTCAAGACGGGAATGGGACTCCGGGTTCTTGTTGGGAGGGTGGAGGAGCAACGACGACGTCTCATTCTGTCTCTCGTCGGCAAGTTGTTTGTGTGTGTTGTATCAGGAAGGCCCGTATGCATGTGTGTGTGCGTGCTCCACCGAAGTTGGTGAGGGAACTTTTTACCGTACCCCACGTACGGTCCGCTAGATACGATATGCGCTGGCTGCCGTCCCGCTACTTGGACCATGCTTATTGTCAACTAGCGTTTGCTGTTGTTGTTCTTCAATTTACAAAACACGCTACTAGAGACTCGTGCAATTCATTCCATAAGATTGTGCGGTTGAGAACGTCTCCCATAGCCGTGTCTTTTGCTTGTCCATGTGATGATGGTTGTGATTCAGGTGTCCCCGGCCGCGACACGCTTCCAGACTCAGCCCTCCCGGCCATGTCCCCGGATTTCCAAGCGGATGCCGATGCCGATGTCAAGGCGAAGAAGGGGGAGAACCAGACCTCAGAGTCCCCTGATGTCGGGGATGTGGTAGAGGGCAGGGTGGACCTTACCGTTAGGGCATGGTCCCCTCCATGCGTGATGGTGAGGTTGGACGGCGGCGGTATCGGGAGGGTGTGCGTGACGGAACTGTCGGAACAAGAGGCTTGGAAGGACAATCCCGTGGGGCGGTGAGGATGCGTGTGATATGTGATGACGGCGAGCGTTGCAGTCAACACGCTTGCTTTTGCTGAGGATATTTGCCGTTGTCGTTTATTTGAAGACGTGGCTCGTGTCGACTTGTGGGTTGAGACGGCTTTTGTCATGTGCCAGTTCCCTCACCCTTCGGACTTTTGACATACCGCAATCAAGTGTCTTGGCTGATACTCTGTCGAATCCTTAAATGCCCTCCTGGCCATGGACTATCGTTTTCCCCTTAGCAATAGTCCCGGCCACCGCCACCTGCCTCAGCCCCTTCGCCAGAGTTCGTGAAAATGAATAATGGTGAGGGTGTGGCTTTGGCCATGTGTAGCGGCAATTCAGGGAGGGCTAGATTAACCCCCACACGGGGTATTCGGTGTGACCGCTTTATTTGAGCACGCTAACCTTACATGGCGCCGTGTGCTCTGTTTCCAGAGGTGATCACTATGAGATCCCCGTGACATTTAGTTTTTCCTCGCTTTTGATGACAGTGACGTGCTTGGTGTCGCAACTGCAGTGCGGGATGCTGCTTTGTTGAATTTCAGCAGCAAAAGGTCAAGGTGGTAATGGCAATGACGATGGCAACTCACCGAGTTTGCGAAGTACCGCTGGTTGTATTCTTTTGGTCGTTGGTGCTGCGTTGGCTGTGGCTGGCATTTTGATGACGTCCACTCAACTCCGCCGATGTCCCTCGAGAAACATGAGCATGAAACAAAAAACGCATCGCCTACCGGCCCCCCTTGGTGTTTGTGCTGGTCTCTCTTTCCCAAAACTACGCGCTGTTGTCGTCTTGACTTTGAAAATCGGTCCCGGTGCCTGCTCATCAATCACGATCCACAGTGCCGTCAGTACATAAACCTTGCCATGCCTTACCTTACCTTGACTTGAATATCACTACTACTCTTGCAGTCCTTCTGTCTGACGCGGACGCCTTTCTCGATTCCTTGCTTCCTTTTTCCGTATTTCGAAGTGTGCAGGACGGTGCTCGCGTCAAGTGCAGGGTGCTGCCCCCTTTACCGACGAGATCAACAGAAGCGCGTTCCAAATCACAAAGGCGGCGGTCTGGCGGTGACGATGGAGAGGATGAGGATGGTGATGGGGACGGTTACATGGGACCAGTGGAGCTATCGCTACGACCGTCGAGGGTTGAGGCACCGAAGAAGAAGCGAAAAGAAGCCATCAAGAGGGAGCCTGCCCCGAAAGTCGGGTCTACCGCTAAGGTCAGCGCTGGTTTTCGGTGGGAAGCTGAAGTTGCGGTTGAGGCAGAGGAAAATGCCAAAAGGAGTAAGATAGGCCCATGTTGAGTTAGATGGGCCCATTATTGGGAGTCAAGCAAAGTGGCGCCACGAGATCATCCCAGCCCGCTTGCTGTAGGCACCGGGAGGCTCGCTCGAAGCAAAACTCTTTTCTTTTTCAACAACGTAGATTGGGATGCCTGCTGAGGAAGATTTTGCCTGGCACAGGAGATGGGTCTTGGGCGTGGAAGAACAGTGGCCACATTATCGTCTATTAATAGCATTGTCCATACCTTGTTTTTCTGCTTTTGTTGCCACATGGCCTTGCTACACGCCGCTCTTGACCATCTGCTAATGCACAGCTCCTTGAGCATGCAGTTTACACCAGTTGGGTAGATACTAGTCCCATTTGATTTGTTGCCATCGGACAATGAAGCGGTTCTTACAACCCGGCACCTGTAACCAACACCGTTGTGCAATCAATTTTTTTCAAATGTGATTGACAGTGCTACGTTGTGGCAACCGGCAAGTCGGGCTGCTTCGTCATCCTCGACGGGGGCGTGTCTGGCAGAGTACTGCTCAAGCACCTGTCAGACCGATTCGTCTCCGACCCAGCGCAGGAGTTTCCTCCGGGGAAGCTCGTCGCGGGGAAAGTTCTTGCCAAGGTGAGCGGTTCGATGCATTGCAGATCCAACGAGGACTGCGTGTGAAACCACTTGTTAAAATGGGCTGTCTTGGTGTCATGTGTCCTGATCAGTCCCTTGACTTGGACGGGGGTGATCGCCACAAGACGGTTCGATTTCGCCATGGGAAGGCGTTGCGTGAGGATCGGCATCGCGTGTAATGAAGTAGTCCCCCCTCTCCCCCCGCCGTCGATGTACCGGTTGGGTAACGGTTACCTCTCGGCCTTTTTCGCACGCGGGCTGTCCTTTTGTGCTCAAGATGCTGGGTGATGCTGATACTGTGAGTGTCTAGTTGGTTATTCGCTTTTGTTAGGTTGTGTGGGTGCACACACGTGTGACGTTGTACATGCGTGGGTGACAGATTGAAATCTGTGAGAAATGACTGCCCGGCTGATTACCTGAATAATCAGAGCTAATCCCCTGATCCTATCGGATGATAACAGCTATTCCCAAGATATCTATGACGGGCCGACATTTTTCTGGAGATCTATTTCATCCGCCACGCGCGTGTATAGCAACCTTTCTTGTTTGCGCACAGTGCTGCAAAGGGCATGTGTATCAGCGCTTGTGTCTTTTCCTCTTTGACTTCTTTCCACATTTTCTAGTCGTAATGTGGAACAGCGCATGGTGCGTTTTACCCGGTGCACTGGCGGCTTGATGAGCCATCTATTGGCTCATAGTTACGTCAAATCTTCCTGCTTGACGCTTTTTGTGATGGTTGCACTTTCGGTAATATAACCTTGTTTTATGTAGCATTGGATGCTGGAATTCATCGTTGGAGGGATTGCTCTTGTGCTGTCTGCCTTGATTATTTGTTTAGCAAAAATTGATCACGGTATATAGCATGCAGATAACGGTCCGGCGGATGTGTGTTTGATGTGGCTTAGCGACAGGTTGCGCGCGTGGTTATGTTGGAGGTGTTGGAGCCAGAGACCGAGGGGCAGAAAGGGACTCCCGAGACCCGGCTGATTACCTGAAACATCAGAGCTAATCCCCTGATCCTATCGGATGAAAACAGCCATTCCCAAAATATCTATGACGGGTCTCGTGTTCCCGCTTTCGTCTCGGGCATCCATTCCCTCTCATCCCGTAGACATCGAGTGAATGATGAAATATCGTGATAGTGGAACCGCCGAGCCAGTAGCCGGGGGCTGCATAGCCGGACTGAGTTGCCAGGCAGCCGCGGAAGAGAGTGAATACCGAATGGTATGTTTCGTGTCATGGCCTATGGCCGACGACGAATCTGATCAACAGCGACGAACACCCTCTCGTGGTTGCGTTTGTGCCGAATACAGTGACTCGTTATCGGCGTTTTGTTCATCCTGGTGCCCTTTCTGTTCTTCTTGTTGATACGTTTTATCCGTGCGCAGGATAAAGAGACGGGGCGCGTATCGCTGTCCCTCATGCCGTCCGACGTGGTTGAAGGGGAGGGAGGTGCGCTCACGTGGTCGAGTGAGATTCTCAAGCCAGGGCTGAAGGTGAAGGGCACGGTGGATACCGTCAAGGACTTCGGCGTGTTTATCCAGATTCAAGACTCCAAGGTGATGATGATGTCACGACCGATACATGCATCGGATGATGAATGGTCCACGGAAGGAAGGGGAAGGCGACAGAATAAGTGAGGAGAGGAAAAGCAGGGTAACAAAGATGTGGTCGAAAGAGAGGAAAGGGCCAGTGGCGAAAGTCAAACCGGAACAGTTTGCATTGCATCGGCAAGGATGTCCGGGGCGACGAGGTAGGGTTTGGATGAGGTATGATGGCCGGGGGAAAGGGGTGAGTTCCACCTCGAAGGGCCGGCCTTTGCGCGGCGACACATCTACCGGTCGCCCCGGTGGTCTTGTGGGTAGCCTCGCAGCCTGCTAAGGGTCAGGTCATGGGTTCGAGTCCCGGAAGAGTAAGTTTTTTTCTTACTAAATACATCCTGGTCAAGGATGAAAGCGGCGCGCTGCAATGCTCGTTGTTAGAAATCCATAATCGACTTCGTAAGTCGCGAGGGAAGGGATTGCTGTACCCTTCTCGCGATAAAAATACCTCAGGCAGGGACCGCAGGAGGGGGTCCAACCCCACCCTCCTATGTGACCCCGGTTGGGTCGTCTAGCTAGTAGAAGTGGAGGATAGGGGCCAGAGGGGCAGACGACAGAGTCCAATGATGGAAGAACAACAACAACAACATAAGAAATGGATGGCAAGTCTCCCGTCGCATCATTTGTTGTGGTTGATTTTCCGCTCCCCTAGCCTCGCGGTTTTGCCCTGTGGTTGCTGCCATTTTCTCGTCTTGTGTCGTAGATGTATGTATGTCTGACCTATATGGTGTTAATCTTCCTCATTATTCCCTCAGGTGCGAGGGATGTGCCACCGATCTGAGGCTGCTGACGATACCATCGACGACCTAAACCATGTGTATGAGGCGGGAGATCTGGTGAAGGCCGTCGTTCTCAAGGTGAGGGTAGGGGTCGAGTTGGAAATCAAAGTCGTTACGCATGTCAGATACATCAGTTTTTGGCTCAGCACGAGGCTGAACTCGCCTGCCTGGTATTACCCGCATTCTTCGTTTTGATGTCGTTGGTGGTATGAACATGCAGGAGCGTGTTCGGTAGAATCTCGTTTTTCCTCTCCGGATTTGTTTTATAGACTATTTGCCGAATGTGTAGACCTACTTGGTATCTCTCCCATTCCCTGCGATATCATGCCATGTTGGAGCCGCGGCGTCGGGATTGTGTAGCACATGCATGGTACTGTGAAGTAGCGTGGGGTCGTCGATACCATGGTTCGTACTAAGGGTTGTGTTTGTTCGGATCTGGAACCGATGGTCCACAACCTCAGGTAAACAAGGGCATGAAGCGGCTGAGCCTCGGTCTCAAGGCAAGTTATTTCGCAGACGATGTGGACAGCGACTCGGACGACAGCGGAACGGGCCAAGACGGGGGTGAAGACCTGGACAATGGCAACGCGGCAGACAGCAGCGATGCCAATGACGACATTGTGGCCGCAGCAGCGATGCAGGTGTCGGACGATGGGGAAGACGAGCAGGAGGACGAGAGCGAGGAGGAAGAGAGAGAAGACAGCGATGATGACGAGAGCGAGAGGGCCACCAAGAGAGCAAAAGGTGGTGTTCTGGGCGGGGGTCTGGGTGTAGACAAGGTTGGGGTGGCTAGTGCCTTCAGTCTCAACTTCGGCGACCTGGGTATTTCGATGGGCGTTGCCGGCGCGAGCAGCGACGAGGAGGAAGACAGCGACGACGACGATAGCGATCAGGATCGGGGTGTGTCGGGGTGAGCCTGGGAGGAACGCTGTGTTGTCCTTCGTGTCACTAGAATGACCGAAATGGTACGCGTTTGTGGGATGACTTGTTGTGGGTGATGGTCATGGGATGGGTGTTGCAGCTATGGCTCACGTTTGACTTGGTAAGTTCGGAGACAAAGAAATCTGTTGATGATTGTCGTTGCTCGCTGGTACCTGGCGCTCGAAGACTCGTTTCCAAGCTTGTTGCACGATGCGGTGAGTGGTACATCAAATATATAACTTGTGTGGCAATGGCAACACTTGGAAATGTTGGCACGCCAAAGGTTGCCAAAGAAGGCACGCTCCCTGTTTGCTCTCCGACATTATAACACTATCAATAGTATCATTGGCACGTTCTGTCTTTTCCCGTCATGGTATCCCTTGTCCGTCATCCGTCGTCCTTCATCGCCTTACGGCTTGCTCTGTTGCTCTGCTGTTGATTCGATTGATCTGATTCATGCAGGAGTAAGAGTCACCGATCTCGCAAGAAGGCCAAGGAGAGGAGAGAGGAGGAGGACCGCATCGCCGCTAGGGAACGAGCCCTGCAAGACGAGGTACTCATGACACTCATATCACTTGTAGGTGCTGTGGACACCGCCGCCGCCGCTTCAAACACCCCAAGGGAACGGTAGCAGAAAGGGCCGGCCGCGTGACACAAGCCGCAATTGAAAAAGTTAGCCGGGCTGACAAGCAGCGGTCAATGCGGTGGACAACCCCGTCGATTCAGCTGCTCGTTACGCTGGCTTACTTGTTCGATTGCGGCGTGGGTCGCGTGGCTGGCGCTCCTGGGCGACTGTCCCTTTTAGTTGGTGCTCGAGGCGATCGGCTTCGGTGGTGGGCTGGTCCCGCAGCCTAATGGCCTTTGAAGCGATATGGCTAGCACCCCAATCAAGGACAGCGCGAGCAGTTTCGTGAAGGCTGTTGTGATGTCGAGCGTAACGCGTCCACTACCGCCTGGTGTTAACTAGCGTGTCTCATGTCTCGTGCGTGTAGGTCCGGGCCGTTTGCTGCGATAGAGGAAAGGTTTGTCTGTCTCCGCTGTTCATACCTTCCGGCCGTAATTTGATGTTGTTGTGCAGTTGTTGCTTCCTTTTCGGACATGAGGATGGTCATCGCTGTGCGTTGATGACATGACGAAAGTATTGCGATATGGTTGTCAAATGACTGGCTGCTTGTATTTTCTCATGCTTTGGGGTTCAGGATGCGGCACCAGAGACGGCTGGCGATTACGAAAGGCTTCTGGTGGCGACACCAAATGACTCCCTTTTGTGGGTGAAGTACATGGCCTTCAATCTCTCCCTCGCTGACGTTGAGGTGAATCTTCCTATTGGTGCAGTAGTGCCCTTTCGAGAGGTAGCTCACCTCATAACCAACAAGTTTCTTTGAATCCGTCAAAGGCGGTTGTTGTTTGCTCAAGCGTGGAATGTTGGTATTGTGTGGTCAGGGTCCCAAACCTCGGTAGTATGTAGTGTGGGCGAGAAGTCACCTCCACGCGTTGTTGGAAACTTAATCTTTGGCAAGGAATGCGCGGCGTGTGCAGGCGGTGACTGTGGGTGTTACAAAGAGGCATGCAGCAGGGGTACGTCTTTTGATGCTCGTGTGTTGCGAGCAGTGCCTACATGCACGCAAGTCGTCGTGTCTAAGTTTTGAAGGAATCCACGGGTCTCAGAAGGCGTTGCCCCTCGAATGTTTTCGCACTCCGTCCAAAAAGGGTGAAGCGCGCGGTTGTCGAGGGGTGTCATGAACCCGAAGAATGAATGATGACCCAATGAGGTCGTAGCCAGCTTTGAAAGCCTGCCCCGTATTTCTCCACGTTGGTGGACGAAAAATCGTCCTTTGACTTGGAGGTATTTCGTGCGTGGTAAGACCTGTCGACTGGTACATTTCTTGTTGATATGCTGCAAATTCGTTTTGATTGTTTGTGTCGCAGCGAAAATCGAGACCGCTTGCTGCCGGTGGCATTCAATGTCGTGTGCCGTTTTTGTTCTGTTCCAAAGTCTTCGCTTCGCTCTGTGCCAATTTTTGTCTCTTTGCTTTTGTCTCTTTGTAGGGAGAGTTATGGCCCTAATCCGGAGACAATGTTGGGGCTCTGAATGGGCCTTTATGGGCAACCTTTGTTGGGTTTTTCAGAAACAGTCGATCTTCGGCACAAATGTTTGCCGTTTTTCCAAGAGAGCCTTGGCTCGTCCAGTCCCTTTCTAACGTGTCTATCGTGTCTGACGTGCCAACAACAACAACCACCCGCTTCACTGTACCACCGCATTGCCGCATTGCACATCCTGTCGCTGGCCGTGAAACCAACCTGCAAAATTGTACAAATTGTACAAATTGCAGGGTGCTCGTGCGGTGTGCGAGAGAGGGCTGAAGGCGGTGTCTTTCCGAGAGGAGCAAGAGCGGTTCAACCTGTGGGTCTCGCTCATCAACCTCGAGCACAAGTACGGCAGTCGTGCCACCCTCAAGACCGTGTCGGAGAGAGCCTGCCAGAACAGCAACCCGAAGAAGATCTACCTCCACATGGCAGAGGTGATTTTGATTTTTTTTTTGATTGCGGTGTTGAACGATGCTTCTGGACGTAAAAAATGGCGCGGCAGCACTCTGCTGCAAGTCGTGTGCTGCGTGTTTTATCGTCATGGCAATCCGATAAGGCTTCAGGTGAAGACAACAAGTTAGTGGCGTTAATGTGTGTGTTGCACCTCAGACGTGCCGACTTCAGAACACGGGCCAAAATTTGTGTTTCTGAGAACAAGTTGCGCTGAAGAAAGACCAATGAGCTGTTCGCTTCTTTTGTACATAGGATAGCTCGATTGCAGTTCTGGCGTGTGTGGTGTCGATCGCGTGTGTTGAAGCCCCGTAGGTATCGTATCGAGTCATCCCCATTCTTGAACGTTTTTTAATGCATCACGTCTGTGCGATTGGCAAGTGAAATTTGCGTGCACCGTCATGTTTTTTTTTGTCGTTGAACGGTGGTGTCCAGATGCACGAGAAGGCCCAGGAGAGCGAGGAATGCGAAGAAGTTTTCAAGGCAGCTGTGAAGAAGTTCAGACATTCACAGAAGGTCGGTGTATTTGCAACGTACCAGATTGCCTTGCCAGTTGGTATGTGTATTTTCGTGACGTTTTTTTTTTAACATACTCCGCCGCCAGCCAGCTTGCATTTGCAATGGGGAGCTTATTGTCACTCTCTTGCTGGGTGTCACTACAGTCAAGTAGACATCGATCGGAACATTTTACTCTCGTTCACTGACAGCTAGTCCACTGCTATTATTTATAGACCTTACGGTTGTGGTTATTCTGTGCTCATACATGTATGCCGGGTCCCCCATGTGTCAAACCGCCGCCTCGATGCCCCCAGCGTCCATCCAGGTTTGCACGAATAGTTTTGCATTCCATATTGATGCATGGGACCCTACCTCTTGCGCCATGAAATATGTCTGCGGTCAGGTGTGGGTAGCGTATCAGCTGTCGCGGCTTAAGAGAGGGGACGACGCTGGTGCTCGAGAGGCACTCAAGCGAAGCCTGCAGTCCCTGGCCAGGCACAAGCACGTCTCTGTCATCTCGAGGTATATACCTTTATGTCATACCACAGAAATTGGCGCCTTTATCATGATTCCAGATATGTTTGGGGCTGCACCGCCGTAGTGCGGTGGTTTGGGAGTGTAGTGCGATGAGGATTGGCAAGTCGTTGTCACTGATGAATTGCCCAAGTGGCACCGCTAATCCGCGAACCATGACCCGATGTCAAAGGGGCATGATCTAATGGCGTGTCCACGACTTGATGGATGTTCCATCTCACGCGTACAGGACGTGTCATACTGTATGTGTATGTGATGTAATGGTGCCTTCAGGTTCGCTCAAAACGAGTTTGAGCACGGGTCGGTGGAGAGGGGTCGCTCGGTGTTCGAGGGACTGATGGCCTCCTACCCCAAGCGCCTAGATCTGTGGAACGTATACCTGGACAAGGAGGTGAAGGCTGGAGATCTGAGGGCGGCGAGAAATCTGCTGGAGCGATTGGTGAGGGAACCGTCATGTAAAGGACCTTGATATCCGTGCATGTATGCCTAGAATACTCAAGTCTAGGCCTCTCGCGTGGAGAGTTTCTGTCCGACGCTCCGGTGCACAACAAGCCGGTTTAGTGATGCTGTTGGGTGTATGTAATGTGTCTTGCCGTGAGTGCCGGTTTCCTCACGTGAGTCCCCATCAAACCTCAGTCTAGCCGGCGTTCACTTTTTGCATCAACCATTTTGTTCACGGTGCACGTAGAACGCTGAAGAAGAGGTTACCTCTTGATTTCCCGTAGGTATCCATACATCAACGCTGAACTCTTGGGAGTACGGGTGAAAAGGAAGAAGCAACAGGGGTGTGTCTCATGTGTCAACGCCAAAACTTGAAGATGCGCCGTTGTGCTTCAATATTGTGCCGCTGTCTTTCGATGATATCATCCGCATTATCGTGCTCACAAACTAGCCCAACCTCGGTTATGTTGTGCATTTGGCCAGGCAGCATGTTCAAATTTGAATAGTAATACAAACTCCACATCATCGGAGACTCGAACGAGAGAGACGTCAAGAAGCCATTGTGTCCTAACCCACCGACGCCGACCGCAAAACTGGCGTTAGCCAAAAATCGATCGTTAGTCACACCCCGCTTCATGCCAGCCACAGTCAATACTGGGCGCACGTCCCTCCCTCCCGTGCTTGACGACGGAGGGCTCCTTGACCGCGGCACACACGCTGGACTTGAAACGCGACCTTGCTGCCCTCAACGAAAAAACACGTTTCAAGTCGAGCACGTCTCCCGTGGTTATGAAGCGCGCCGTGGCAAAGCACGGGAGGAACGCGCGCGGAGTATGGTAGTTATGTTATGGTGGCCACGAAGCGAGCGGTCCTCGGCTGCCCCCCGGTGTAGCGTAGGGTTGGAATAGTTTTAATACACCGGTTCGTGGGATATCTCCTCCCGAAAGGGTTACCGCAGCCAGGCCATGCTGTCCAGCACCAGTCATGTAAGAGAAGACCACAGTATTGTGCACGAAAATCGAAGTATGGATCGGACCTTTGGCCTCAAAGCTCTAGAGGCCTGATCCAAACCCTTTACTTGACAGCAGAGTAACCCACATTTTCCAAGACCAACAGCAGTATTTCCCTTCATCGCACCCGTGTCTTTCCTCTCGCTTGCGCAGTCGGGCATGGACTTCAATGCGAAGCGAATGAAGGGGGTGTTCAAGAAGTACCTTCAGTTCGAGATGGAGCACGGCGACGAGGCCGGTGTGAATGCCGTCAAAGCGAAGGCGACCCAATACGTGGCGTCTTTGGCCGGATGAAGATGGAGAGCGCAGCCCATTGTTGGGTAGACAAAGCAAAAGCTGTGGCGCCGGGATTTTTTTTTTTTTCGCGGTTCTCTTTTTGGCTGTGTCGTTCGTGACTACTGCGTCGTGGTATGCATAGGAGTGTGCGCAGGGACGGTGCAGCACTAGATAGTCGTTGAATTGTTTTTGGCTTTTAATCGGTGCCATGTGAATCTCATCGGTCTTGCCTTTGTGGGTGCGAAGGGTTTGTTGTTGCTTCACTACGGGCGATTTTGATTGAATGTGGTTATTTTGTCTCCCGCGGGTCAAACGACTGCTGGTAGATGCTTCGTTTAGCCGCATGGCGAGTGGGCGCGTGATAGTGTTGAGCCTTCAGGGCGCGTGGGTGATATTCGTTTAGTTGTCACCTTATGTAACCATCCCACCCGCAGCAGTTGTATATTTAGTGTTTGTTTGGGTCCTGCCGTCACGGCGACTGATTCTTTGCGCGGCGAATATTTGGCCGTACAAGTTAGGAGGTCCATGGTGCTACATGTTTCCCGGCCGTTGGTGATTAGGTATTCGTGTTAAGAGCAACTCTAGGGTTAGGGTTAGGGTTAGGGTGATGTTTTTTCTGGACGAAGGGTTGGCAATTCGGGCTCCAATGCTCGTGGTACTCCTTTGTGGTGTGAGGAAGATCCATGGTCATCAAGTGGCGCGAGTGACTTGTTGGGGGTATGATCTGTAAATATATATGATGCAACGCTTTGGAGAAAATGTACGTGAGAGGAAGCAAGCGAGAGTTGAAGCTCTAGGAGTGCACAGTCTGCATCTCCTGAAGCCCCCCCGTTAAACCAATGATTTGTCGAGTTTGAGGTCTTCCAAGCGCAGATGATCAATTTGGAACACGTCCAGCACAAGGCCTCTTCAGTAGTGCAAGGACTGTTCCTGCATTTCGGAGTGTCTCCGTTGAAAAGGAAGCCGTTCTACGTCGCTACTGGCCGGGGAACAAGGAAAGCAAAACCTCGGGGGAAGATCCGGAATTTCTCGATTGTCGTTGGCGTGTTGGGCAATTGGGGAGTTTTAGTCAGCACAATCCCGCAAAGAAGCAACAAAGAAATCTTGTCCGAAAATTCGACACTTGCTTAAGCGAAAAATGTGATGGGAATCGATGCATGTGCTCGGTTGGCTCGTGTTGATCCTTGCGGCAGAATTGTCAACGAGACATCGCTGTAGAGGCGAGCGGAGTGGCCTTGACTATTCGTCATTGACTCCTATTGGCTTGCAGATCCTTCGTGTCCATTTTGTTTTCGTACAACTTATTTTGGGTTAAGCTAGCATGTAATGACGGGAATCGACCCCGTCAAGGGTAGACAGAAAGTATACTAGAAGGTACTGAGCAGAGAGAACGGAACGGTTTTTAGTGTGAAAACATATAATTGTACCACCTCTCCGTTATCCACGCTCGTGACGCCGCCATCGTTACTAGACACAAACGGCACTTCAAACGAAAGGGGGTTTTGGAGTCTTCTGCGTTACGTCACTACGTACTTAGTACTAAAGTCTAAATAGTTCCTTTCTTCGGGTGACGCCATCGTACACAAGGACACAAACAGCACTTGAAGTAAAATCAAATACGGAAGCAGCCGTGTGGGCAACACGGCAATCCATATATCTACAGAGGAGATCGACAACGCAAACAAGGAGCCCGTGTCTCAATTCACCACCGCCTCACTCTGCGGATGTATGTGCTTCAATCATCGTTTTTGATCCGTGTCTCTGGATGAGATAGATCCGGTCTGGCTACAAGAAAATTTCAAAGCAAAAACGAAAGGAAAAGAAAGCGAAGGTCTGGAGGCGCGAGAAACTTCTCCAGAGACAGACATCTGCCAAAATATACTTTCGGTCTGTACAAAAACGTGTATTTTTCTGGTCGGTGATGGACGCCAGCACAAGTCGTGCAAGCACCACATGTACATGCCCAACCTTCCCTGCTGTTCAACTGTCGACGTTCCCCTACGACACATACATGCTGTCAGTGGGATAACACTACTACACGACCACAACTGAGGACAACAAGCACAGAGGGGGTTTTCCGCGGTAAAGACGTAAAGACGAATTGTCTCTCCCGCGGCGAGGAAATACTCGAATGAAAAACCGTTTTTGCATACATGTCTAAAACGACGTTTAAAAGCATAAAAAAAAGAGAAACAAAAAAAAATGTGATCGGATCGCCTTGATTGTGTTTTTTCACCGCGTTGCCGATTTCGGCGCCTCCATTTCTCCTCGGCAACCGATTCCGCTTGGCCGATTTAGAGGGGGTAGAGCCACTCAGAAAGAAAGTTGATCAGACAAAAACTCGACGTGGGAACCGAGAATCCAAAATCCCAGGAATTTTGAAATTGCTCAGCTACTGTCAGCTTCTGAGCAGCTGAAAGTCCATTGCAAATAATCAACACTGGGACATTCCAACAATTTCATCAATGTATTTGTGATCCCCACCCCAAAATTACCCTAATAATTCGAAGTCAGGAGAGACTGAATCAACATGCAGAAAGTGTTGCGGGAGGGGGGATATTTCTTCAGTGTAATTCCTAGTAATTCCAGGTTATCCCTGCTTTCGCGCATATATATCAGTGCGTAGCTGTATCACGGCCGCATCGATCCTGATCGAAATTCTGACGACGGATTCTTGATGTACAACACAACATTACCCTAACCTGAACATTTTTGACGATTCGGAGGCATTTGCAACTTGCTCGGGGGGCCCGCAGACGCGATTTTCACCCAATTTGGCCACTAATTCATCAATAAGTCATCACCACGACACCCAAATGGGAAAATAAGTATATTTTCGTGATCCTCGTGACCTAACGGATGTTGGTACAAATTTTCAGAGGTTGGGAACCATTTCTTGCTGGTCATTGAAAAACTCGTGGAAACTATTCGTCTTTACCGCGGAACACCCCAGAGACCAGCTGGAAGTATGTACTGCTGTTCACTTGCCCACAAAATTCCATTTCACACGTAACGTGTTGTTGCGGTTGTTGAGGGTCGTCTCTGACGCCGTACTCACTCCTAATATAACAACAACACAAGCAAGCGCTTACTGATAAGCCCACCAACACGAAATGATGTGTACTACCTGCGTAGCATCTTACGGAGGCGACGTCCCTTGTAATCATCGTAACCCCACACATCGACATATTCTATTAACAAAGCCCCGACTGCGGCACATGGGTCAAAAACAAAGACGAAAAATGTTCTCCCTTGCTACCCTGCATATACTTCTATTACTTGGATACACACCCAATACCCCGACAATCCATCGCGTGTTTTCTTCACATATGAGACAAATCCCATAAGAGTGCCACTGCGACGAACCAACTAGCCAGCACCTTCCTTCCGCGCCTTCCCGGCATAACACACAGATAGATGCACAAGACGGCTACCAAACTGTCTGTGCTGTTGAGCGTGTTACCCACAGGGGAGATATCGCTGTGTGCTGGTCGGGAAACCGTGCAAATACAGTAGCTTTCTCTGACGCTATGTATGAAATCATTGCTTGCTTATTTATCTTCGGCTTTTTTCCTACGTAGGGTTGGATTTGTTGGGTGATCTTCAAAAAATAATAAAAAAAAGAAACTACACCGCTGTATAGCCGTGGGCATAGAGATGTTCTCCAAGACTGCCGGGCATGTTTTTCTTGGACAGAGTCATCGCACTATCTGTACGTGTACGACGGCGTGCCATACATAGACAGGGAAATCTACATCACCCACCCAGCATTCACTTTGTCACCACACGTACAATATACAGACTATAGCACGTGCTCAAGATGGTTCACTATCGCCATGTATGCACATGCTTGCGTCATCATACACGGAATGCAGGTTTGGCGTCCTGTAACCCACATCCACCACCACCTCCTCTGTTGGCACCATTTCCCTTCCCTTGCACCTCTTCGCCCGCCAAGCGAACTGGGTCATGATCATCGCGTTCTGCCGCAATTTCGCAAATCCGCTTGGACGTCCTAGCTCCTGCTTGTTGCCCTTGCCCTTGATTTCTTGTGACCATAGCCGTCCGACGTGCCACTGCTCCTTGTTTCGACACGGGATGGTTTGGCGTAATATCGAGATTGAGGTTGCTGTATCGACGAAGAGGCTGCGCGTGGCCTTCGTCTTCGGGCTTGACTGGAGCAGGCTGGCTCCGATCGCGCAGTCCTCGCGACAGGGCTATGCGCGCCAATCGGTTGCTTTCGCTTGAGGCGGCCTTGATTTGCTTGGTCTGCGCCCGGAATGTGTCCATGTAACCGTACACCTTCAACAGCCAGTCGCAGAACGAAGACGCGAACGAGCGGACGACGAGGCACCGGATGGACGAATGGATATCGAAATCGATTTGTCGAGGTAAACGTCGGAAAGCTCGAAGAAATGAGGCAGTCAGGCAAACGAAGCTACTACTACTACTGTACACGTTCTCCATACGATACACGAACAAAACAAAAATATATATAGATATATATATCTTTCCTCGGTAAAGGCATTCACGCTGTCTCACCATGGCACAGGTGTCGCAAACCGTCACCGCACGAGTGGCTGTTGTCGGGTGCAAGTGACTGAGCAATTCCTCGTAGAGAAGTTCTTCGACAGCTCGTTGTGTCTCCTCCGGTGCCCCGGCCGTGGAGCGATCGGACGAGCGGAGACTAAAGTACTGCCCACCCCCGCGATCGCTGAGGCCAGCGGCTAGGATTCGCATTCGCTCGGCAATCAACGACGCCAAGATTGACCTGTTCCCTCTCTTCGTCTGATGGAGAAACATGACAATATTACAGGAGCTTGGTCACAGACTGTCGCATGCGGAAGAGGTGAACGGCGATGGGTTGGAAGGCCATACTGGCTCCCGCCTCGTCAACGCAGGTCAGCCATCGTGAAATAAATGTATGTTTCCTCAGTTCATGTACGAACCGAAAGGTCTAGACTACATCATGTACCAGTACTTGAACAATTTTCGACGTAGGTGCAATCAAGCGTGCTCTAGGCAACACAAAACAACAACCTACTACATATATACCATGTGGGTATCGTCCAGTAGGTAACTTCGCAATCGATTCTCATCTCCAGCATCTATCGGCTCAGGCCGCTCCTACTGACCAGTTCTACGGAATGATTCCACCCCGTGGGCAGGAAAAACCTCTACTTACGTGAAACTAACCAATGAACGAACACGTTCGAGCACCGGTCGGTATGGTTTGGTGCCTCCTGATCACCAATCAATGTTGAACTCTAGCGTTGCACCCCCCCCAGCTGCTTCAAATGCTGGCGGTAGTGAACTGCCTTCGAATTGAGGACTCCGCCGGTCACCTGTCTATTGTGTCCGTTAACCTCGCCGAAGCCACCCAGGACGGGGAGGTGCTCCCGTTCTCCTTTCCACCCGTCGCTCCCTGGCTTGGCCTTCACTCTTGGAGTTTGTGGAGACGGGGATGGCAATGACCAGGCAGACAGTGCTTTCTCCTCGGCCCTGCTTTTCAAGATCGACCGGAAGGACACCACCTTGCAGATGGGGGAAAATTTTGTTCCACTGTGTCGGGCGCTGACTCCACGGCAGCTTCCTCGTTCACCGGCTGCGCGGGTGCCGTTTCTGCTGCTACCGCTGCTGCGGCGGGGAGACCACGCGTCCTTGTAGTGGCAATAGTCTCCGAAACATCTACCGCGCGACATGGCAACACAGTATCACGTAGAAGGAGAAAGTCAGGGCAGGCTGACAGGACGACGGTGGAGTGGCTATCAAATGGATTGCAGTCGTCACATCGCGAAGACCCGTTATGATCTCGAACGTTGTCGGTATTGAGTAGAAGAAAAATGCACGATTGATTACTGTTGTGACAGAATGAAACAGGGCAGGATGAGTGCATGTACAAAACGGCTGTTAAGTGGAGCGTTGCTCTAGAGATGAAGGCAAATAAATGTCCTCCAACGGTCATGTCGTATATGATGTAGACTCGTAACAGAAGTACAGTACAGCGCGATAGAAGCGGTCGTGCTCACCCCTTCCCTCCTGTTCGGCCGACAGGACACGTCCATGGGCGCTGATGGTCAGCCACACTCCTCAAGTATTCCGATCTATTTCGGAAACTATCTCGCCAAATTGTGGTTCTCATGGTTGTTCCGGTGGACCTCTTCCTAGGCCAGTACCCCTTCAGAGATAACTCCTCGGTCCCTTCACCCTTGGTTTCGGAGGAACGGTCCCTCCTTGGTCGAGCCGAGCGATGCACCCAAGCTTCTGTCGGCAATGTGAAATTTTCCTTTTTGGCATCACCGGTGTGACGGTAGCGACCGGCAGGACAGAAACCGCTGTGTGGTTCACGTTCAGGGTCCTGATCTTGAGAATTGACGCCCCCACAATAATCGTCCATACCCGCTGTTGCGGCAGAACCAAATACCCCATCTCCTGCTTCATCCAGCGCGACACGAGACGAAGAGCTCTCCCTCGTATTGTTTCCTGGTGATACCTCGTTGGATCGATGGCATGTCGCCGGCGATGCGCTTGTCGTTCTCTTGTTGTGCGGGTACTCTGATCGTGTACTACCCCCAGATAGGCTGGCTCCAACTACCCCCGATGTCCCTGTCCGGCCCGATACGACATTTCCAAACTTGGGAGGGAAAAATGTCGTCCACGAGCGATAACCCTCTTCCAACTCTTGCGTGAGTCGCATGAACTTGGTGTTCGGATCGTCGTCTACCTCCGCCCAAGCGCGATCGTTGAGCTGATGCTTGGAGTTCACCGTACGGACGGAGTCTAGCCAAAGGAGCGTTGGCTGACCAGTTCCCGGTCGAAAAACGAACTGAGCAACGACTGTCAGGAGGATCTCTCCGGTCTGAATGGTTCGAAAAAGGCGGGACAGGCATCCGTTCGTTCATCAAGGGGGCGCAAAGCTGCACATTCCTTTTTTACTTGCGCGCAGCGTTAAAGGACCCAGAGAGATGGCGGTATCTATTCATCACCTGATCAGTGACAATCCTATATGAATGCAGCACAGCTTTCCTCAAAAGGGTGAAAATAAAATGTTTTTCATCCACGTGGTGTGATTTTATCGAAGGGTTGCTTGCAGTTCATCCCTGCTGAAAGTTTATGATCCCTGGTCACACGACCGAACACCGCGCTCGGCGGTGTCCACCTTTGTACAGTATCTACTGCAGTATCCCGGGAGAGGTACTGTACATTCACCAGATCCTTGCCTCGGGCACACTCAACCGAGCGCCGGGCGACCAGCACACCGTATCATACCGCCGGAATGGAGAATTTACGCTGCATCTATTTAAACCCACCGCTCGTTCGACGTGCTCAATGATCCGCTTGGTTTCCGCCGCGAGCATTCGATGGATCACGCCGTATACGCGCTTCGCAGAACCATCCCTTGCGCGCTGCCGTGTCAAGCTGTTTCCGTCTCGTTGGCTGCTGTTGGCAACAGAAAACTCATCGACGTCTCCGAACCACTTCACGTCGCTCTCCGGCCAACGCAGGAGCTCAAACGTCGCGACGACAGCCTGCATGGTATGGTTGTTCTGTCCCTTTCGCTCGAACTCTGTTTCAAAAACGCCGCATCCGGTGAAAGGGTCCTTGGACACGAAGGGTTGTATCGCCACGATCTCGTCTAACAGGTGTGCATTATGCTTCTCCCTGAGCGAAATCAGATCGCGGGCTGTCAACATCACAGGATATGTACGCCCTTCTCTAAGTCTTCGTGCCGTGGCGATGATATCTCCTGATGTTGCGTGCGGGGCATGACCCTTGGTGTGTTTTCCCTTGCTCGTGGTGCTCGATGCGCACCGAACGAGGAACTTGAGGAACTCATCCCATTCCAGCCGCTTGGTCGCTCGCTGAACGATTTGTGGCCGAGGATACACGAGAGAGAACTTGTTATTTTGGCCGAAGAAGAATTCAGCCTCAAAACAAGAACTTACAAAGATGCGTGCAAGATAGATGTGCTTTGGCTCGTGGCAAGGGGTCTTCTGGACTGCAGAGGAGTTCTTCTGCTGCTGCGTGGATCTACAAGGTCACGTTCGGCGCCAATCGCTTGCTACACTACAGCAGAGGAAAGTGCGACACGTCTAAGAAACCCCGCCGCAGATGCCACGTACTCTGACACTACCAATGCAAGAATTGTTCACACCTTGAGTATGTTGCCAGATTTCGCACTGGTGAAGAACCAATGCAAGAGGTGGCCATCCTGCAGGAGCACCGTGTCCGGCAGCTTTTGTTCTGGCAAGGTGTCTTCCTGCCACAGGCTCTTCATCATCCACCACGATAGGGAGCCCACCACCACCTCAGACTGACTATCCACCTCCCCATCATCATCCATGACGCGCGCAGCTGCGGGTTCGTGTGAATTGAGTACTACTGTGTAGGCCGGATGCGGGTATTATTGTTCAACCGCTACTCCTACTACAGCTGCCTCCTCGGCAGGCCTTTGCGTCCCGCTCTCCGGTCAGGAAGATAGAGGAGGAAGCTGCCTGTCCACGTCACGCATGCAGGCCCACCGTTATGCAGGCTGAGATATACTCTGTGTGCGTTGTAATGGGGCGACGCTTTGACGTGTACGTGTACTCAAGCGAGTTCGGGTCAGCGGTGAACGTTGTCGTGAAATGGTTGATCGGTTCTGGAACTACCTGTGCTGGTTCCCCCTTATCACGCGAGAGCGAAACGTTTTCGGTTCCCCCGCTGTGGTTTGTTGCTGCACGCTGCACTGAGTTTTTCTTGCTCTCTGTCAGACGACTTTGAGGTACTGGTGTAACTGATGCGGCCGTGGATGACTCCATGGGGTGGAACGACGACCTATATTCGTTTGTGAAAAGACGTGGGGGATGGACACATCTACACAATACATCAGTTGCCTGAATATCGAGCATAGAGAGACAGGAACATGAACGGTTGGTTGTCAATAACAACATAGTAAGGATGGTTCTTCACGCTTCGGAAAAGTTGCAAAATTTTCCACCGAACGGTGACAAGAAAACCCGGCTTTTTTTCGCTTGTTCTATTCGTGATGTCATCGCAAACAGTACGTTTCCTTCCCTCAATACACGCTTTGCTCGGCACACAACAGGTTGAGTTGGTGTAGCTCACCGTAGAGCAGCGGTTAAAGCGCAATGAGCAGCACCCGACACAGAGGACAACACACGTAGAAAGATCATATCCACCCGGCCTGCTGTTTTCAGTTTTCAGCAACAACAGGCGCAGGGCAGAGTGTCGCAACCTGGGGGTTGCTTGCGATTTCTTCAGTTAGTTTGCCAGCTCATTTTCCGCGGTTGCGACTCCCATCTTTGACCACCACCTGCCCAAAGGTAGACGAGCTCATAAATCACAGGGCGGCAGCCGCGCTGACGGCCAGCATCATGTAGATGGCCAATCCGAAAGAATTAGCGTGTCGGAGGCCCTGCTGCTCTTCTGCTGCGTTGTGCCGTGGATTGATGTTGACGTGTCCGACCAAAAAAAACAGAACATCTCGCCGCATTTTTTCCAACGGCATTTTGGTGAGGTGGCACACGTTTCACACACACCTTATTGAGCTGCACCCAAGCACCCAATACCCACGAAGCAGTAGTAGTACGGCGCCGGGAGATGATATCATATAGACAGCCGAACCGAAGGAATCAGCGCATTGGAGGTCTTGGTACTACTGCTGCTGTACCCGTTCTACTGTTTCCGAGGTTGCAATGTGTGATTGAAAAAAATTCCCCGGCACCAATAGCAGCAGCAGTTGAAGACGAGAACACCACGCAATGTCTAGTTTTGGACCTAAAACGGACTGAACGCCGCTTCTGCCGGTTGTCCATCTCCACAACAGACCTGGACGTGAGTCTGGCAGGTCTTTCTAGCGTTCTCAGTGATGTTACACTGCCCGCGGTCCACTTGTCCGATGCTTCTGTCAACAACACGGATCCGTGAAAGTAGCAAGCCCCGAAAAATCCCGGCTCCTTCTTTTCACGTTTCGGGGGAAAACGCCTCCGTATATGTTCAAGAAAACAAGCTTCCGTGATATGTACCGTGTTTTTTTTGTCGTAAAGAANCCCCGAAAAATCCCGGCTCCTTCTTTTCACGTTTCGGGGGAAAACGCCTCCGTATATGTTCAAGAAAACAAGCTTCCGTGAAAGGTACCGTGTTTTTTTTGTCGTTGAGAACCACCCTAACCTCATCGCGCCCAGAGTATCCCCACTGTCCTCTCTTGAGTAAAAAAACACGTTTCCTTCAATGCCTAGTGCGTGGTAAGCATGTGCCCCGTAGACACGTCGGGCCTACTCCTTCACATCCTACAGCAGTAGTACAGCGAAAAGTTGCTAGCGAAAAGTTGGTTGGTATTGGGTGTGTTCTACTATGAATAATATTTCTGTAGTTCTCCCCAGTTACACGTTTAGAACCCATCCGCGAGGCCCGCGATCCTCTCAAACTATCGCAGAACTTGACTTCTAACAACCTCTGCCTTCTTCAGTCGTCGGGACACCGCCATGCATCGTACTAGCCTCAGTGAATGTACCAAGACATTACTCGCGTACTTACCACAAGCCGGCGAGAACAAGCGATCTCATCCCTCTAGACTTCCCTTTACAGGATCGCCTTCCCCCCCTTTCTTTAAACTCGCGGAAGGGCCAAAACGCGGTTGCGCGTGTTGAGTCCGATGGGGCCACCCGCATGCCTGGCACCGAGAAAAGTCCTCCTTCAAGCCGACGTTGGTTGATATCCTGGATTTTGACAAGCCAAATCATGTGGCAACTGGGCCTCAGGCACCTGCAACCAAATACTTAAAATCGGAAAGTCCCATAGCCCAACGCCACGGCCACCCTCAAGGCGGAGCCTCCTCGGTGTCACTAACCCGGGTTGCATGTTGGCCTCAGCGCCTAGAGGAACCATTGGATACCCGCTGAATAAGGCACAAAGCAGAAGCGTATGGGCCCACATTTAAGATACCACGAGTGGATTGGCCGTATTTCGTACTTACTTGTTCATCTTCTCCACGACAGCACTCCGAAACAATCATGACCACGACCAATCCGCTGTTACACTGCTCTCACAAGAAAAATGTTCTAAAATTGACAACACTTCGGCAAAACGCCTACACACCACCACTGTACAGCGATGCGCGTGCGAGGCAATACATATGTACAACGCGACAACCATCCCACAGCCATCGGGGCCAGCACGGAGCCGCCTTTTCAACTCAGCACAGCATGTCCTTCGGCCTTGACGTGTGCAAACAGTTTGGAACGCGAAGGGAAATTTGACCCACACACTCGGCAGCTCAACCCGCCCTCCTCTCCTCCTCGTCGTGGGCCGCCGTCAGCAGCCGTGCCATGTCCTACATTCTTACCGTGCCCGTCCTTGGCAGCCTTCAGCGCCTGCCTTTTACGTCTCCTAGCCCCTTTACCCCCGCCGGCGGGGGCAGCGTCATCGGCATCCCCCCCCGTCCCGTTCTTGCCGAGCAGGTTACCAGCCTTTGCGTGGTGTACTCCAGCCTTTCGCCGTCGGCGCCTTCCGGCGGGCTCTAACTCTTCCACTCGGCGGCTATGGTCAGAACCATCATCGCTTCTTGCCCTACTGCTACTGCTACGCGTCTCGTCCGGGCTTCCATGGTGGGCACCCCGCCCTCTAGCGTGGCCGGTTTGTTTTCCCTTCGCTGTGTGGCCCTTCTTTCCCCGGTGTTCGCTGTCGTCGTGGTCCTCTTGTCGAGCATACCTCCGCCGACCTTGGTCGCCTTCATGCGTGCCTGCCTTCGAGTGCCCGTGGGCTCTCTTGGCTGCATGCTCCCGGTCGTGCTTGCCCTTTGCGGGACTGTGATTGTGATCGTGATGGGCCTTGCTTTTTGTTCGGTGTTTCCCCTTCGTCCAGGCTTCGCTGTCGTCGCTTGCCCCAGCCCTCATCAACTCCGCGTCTTCCTCTCCGTCCGATGCCTCAGCGTTGTGTTTCTTCCACCAAGAGAGGCCCGCCGACGTCGCTGCAGACACGGCGCTACCCAAGTCTCCGCTGAGATGAAACCTGTCCGTGGCTGCGTTGGCAGCAGCCAAGGCCGCAGCAGAGGCGGCCACTGCGGCGGCGGTTCGCATGTCTCCGTCCGGGTCGATTTGGTTTGCAGCCTCTGATGCCGTTGCGATAGTCTCAAACAAGTTCGGGTCGTCTCCGTCATTGTCACCACTACCCGAGTCACTCCCGCTCCCACTCTCGCTCCCACTGCTGCCGCTCCCGCTGCTGTCGCTGTCGCTACTGCTTCCGCTGCTATTCTCCTCACTGCTGCTGTCGCTACTGCTGCCGAAATCAAATAGGCCACGACCTCGGTTTTGCGGTTGCCTTTTCGCCTCCCCACCGCTCCGGCTACCTGCTGGCTTCGTCTCTTCATCGTCGCTATCAGAGCCAGCTGATGCGGAAAGGGAAACACTCTTTTTCCGATCCGCCGTCGCTGTTTGGCTGTGGCTGCTGCCGTCCAAATCTAGATCACGCATGGCCGAGTCCAAGAAGAAGTCTCCCTCTCCCTCTGACGATGCCACCCCTTCGGCATCGCTGTTACCATCTTCCGATGTGCTACTGCTGTTGTCGTGGTCTTCCCCTTCCATCTCTTTTCTTCCTGCAGTTTTCGCCATCGCTTCTCGTAGCATTTCCGCGTCGAGTTCCTGCGATGGTTGGGGATTACAGTAGCAACCCGGGAAAGACGCGAGTGTGCGGCGACACATCGAAAAACTTAGCCAAACTTTCGAAAATCGTACAATCTCAACTAGTCTATGTGCGCTCACTGTTTCGCTCTCTACTCGTCAGTCGGTTGCACATTTTTTTCGCACGTGTTGGGGACATGCTCTTGGAAAAAAGCATGCGTCATTTGGGTATTGCTGTGGCGACGGGAGTTCGTCTTTTTCGCCTTGAAGAACAAACGAGAGGAGATTATGGACAGTGGTCAGAAAACCTTTCAACGTGAGAAGAACAACCACAGCAATGATGGTGATGACCTTCATTACCTTGAGCTTCTTCTTGTGTGCTTTGGAGGTCTCGTGGTTCAACATCTGTCCCTTGGATTTGAAGTCCTTCTTGCACACCGCGCAGACGAACACAGTCCCCTCTTGCTCGTTACCACCTCTTCCTTTGCCACCTCGGCCTGCTCGCCTGTGCCAATGTGGAGACAACCGCAACGAAATCTATTACGGTCCACAGGTAACAACAGTGCCGCGCGTCCACCCATGACTTCACTCACGCCAAAAGGGAACACGCCATTTCAGACACATCATCAGGAAACGTCCACATATCTTGTCGACTAGCATGTGTTGTGGCGCGGAGACAGCGACAACACCACCCATGCCGCCTCTGCCATTAGGAAAAATATTTCGAATCACACCCGTACAACGCCTACAACAGCTTCTCGATAAGCAGCACAATCACTGAGTACGCACGCCAACCAAGCGAACCTCATGCAGTTCACAGTACAACAGACCAGTCGAACTCAATCGAACCGCCCTCGTACCGCTTGGCATTCCTCTTGTGGTGGCGATCTTCCTCTTCCGGTTCACTGCCGGTCCCGTCATCCTCATCGTCATCGTCGTCATCTTCATCATCCAAACGAAAAGCCTTGTCTCCTCCCGCTCTCGCCCTCGCCTCCTCCTCGGCCTCTTCCTCCTCCTGCTTAGCTCTGGCCCTACGGTGCCACAGATGCGCAGTTGTATAGAAACACACCAACACGGAGGCATGCTTGGACGTCACCACACCATTACACCCACCACTTATCCGTACCCTGAACAGTGGCAGCGGACCCATGCCAGCACCGCCGGTTCCGCCAGCAGCCACGGGGCGAACGAACCTGGGCTAGGCATGCGTCGAGTTGTGGACTGGGGAAACAAAACGCCTCTCCCACCTTCGTTCGAGATGGCTTGCTACATGTAGATGATAATATGTTCGGACCATAATCGTAGTTTTCGGAGGTCACAGAACCGTAACCCGTGTGGCCCTTGCGTATTCCGTGCGGTAGAGGCATACCACGAAAATTGACCGTGGAATGCTAAGAGGTCTTTCGTTTGCGCAGCAGTGAGCGTATCAATCGTCGGGGGAATCAATGGCTCAAGGGCGAGAGTGGTCTGATACGCATGGTTGACACGCAGCTACGTGAAGCCCGATAGGATAAATGCAGTATTACGAGCACATTGTGTGCTTGATCCATAGGGATAATCGCAAATCGCACTCACCACTCCTGCTTCCGGCGCTTCATGTCCTCTTTTTGATTGAGTGCTTCCTCCTGGTGTCGCTTCTCCCTTAACCCACAGAAATATGCAACACCACCACCAACAATAACGAGGACGAAGACAGCAAGGACAATATTGGTACATCAAGCTATGATCAAAGATATGCCAAGTCCTGTGATACGGGCACAAACTGTAGCACGCAACCACGCCTTCCCGCACACATCCCAGCGTCAACAACAAAAAAACGGTCTCTGTTTTGACCCGATTGCAGGCTTTGTCTTGGTTCGGGTGAATAGTTCTATACTTTGGAGGCAGTACCCATGCTTCACCAACCGGGGTCGGGGAACCTAGTGCAAATACTGCCAGCGTATGGGCCACTCACGGTGCCTTCGCCCTTATCAGGGTTGGGGCATCGAGTGACAAAGCGACTACTATCATATGGTCTACCGTTGTCGTCCAGTCAATGGTTGTCTACACGCGATTGTTGCAAGACGCAGAGTGTCGAGCACTCACACACGATCCTCCAATCACTTCAAGGGAAGTGACGCACGGCCAATCACCTCTCTTCTTTGTCCTTGGCGAGCTTGAGCTTGTAGCGGATCACACGGCGGTCCCTCCTTCGGCAGAAGTCGACCAGTGCACGTACGTCATCTTGGTACTTCCTCCTAGCAATCGCTCTCTTCTTGCTGTTCTCCTTCTCCATCAAACGTCGGACACGCCGGTTCTCAGCCTGTTCGTGGATATTTACATTCAAGGGGGCGTGTTGAGATATTCAGCAGCAACACTCTTGGTTACAATGGAGTATGCTCAAATGCTGCTGTATGGTTGTTGCATGAAATGATCCATCGTGTGGAGATAAACGCAATGTATGCGCAGAGTCGACTGGGTTGAATGCATAAATCGCTCAAGGAATATTCCAACAAGTTTCTGACTTTCCTGGACCCGTTCTCAATAACGTTGAGAGGAACAACATGTGTTGGCACGAACGGTTATTTGAGTACACAACACGTATAACGGTGCAAGCGTAGTTCCAGAACCGTTGCACGACCAAGTAGAAAGGTACTAGGACGCCGGAACGTTTCCGGACCAGTCTTTTGGGGTCTAGAGTTTCTAGACAGGCAGAGCACGAGCTCGCCCAACGAGCTCACTCCAAACTTTCCCTCTCCTAGCTTAGTACGTACGCTGTGGTCCGAACAATGCTCACATCATAATGAGACGACTATAGACCACATACACCATCACCAGGGCCTTGTAGCTTAACCTCGATCTGAGCGTGTTTGAGTGTGTATCAGCATGCTGCTGTTTACACGAGCGACACATTCGCCAGACTCAATCAACTGAGTCTTTGATATTATCAGACACGTACATACTTTAAGATGGATGGCACACAACGTTAACGTGTAGTGATAAGACCCGACACCTATGTGTTTGTGATCAATAATGACTAGAGAGGATCAACAAAAGTACGACAAACGATGCGGGATTAGCTACCCCGATGGTGTTGCAAGCCCCCCAGGAAATGGGTGTTCCGCAGAATTCAAGTCACGCTTGTTTTCTAAAGTGTGGGCCCTGAAACAGCAAGCACTGGATGGGCACTGAGTGCACTCACTCACCCACGTCCAGCAGACGTCAAGGCTGGCTCTAGAAGGACCGTGGCTAGACCGACGGGAATGTGAGCCCGTAACGACGAGGAAAGTTCTACTGAACGGCGCTAGACGAATTTTCCAAAAAAATTATTCGTGAGCGTTGACACAAGTCACGCGTGCTAGTGAGGCTTTCAGACACAGGCAGGAGCGCCACTGGGTGTGGGTGTACATGACTACACCTTGTGCATTTCGCGTGAGCGGTAAACCCTACAGCAGTATAGCGGCGGGCTCGGTACCCGTGGGACCGCAGAACTGATGCGTGTAATCGTGGACTTTTGATCAAGTCACGTTGCAGGAGATCTCGGTGGAACTATTGACAAGGTAGAGCGCTGATCCCGTTTCTACACCACTCGAGAGCACAACACGAGTTGAGAAGATTAAATAAAATGGCAAGGGTGCCCTTTGAAAGGAAGATAGGTTGCGCTACAGACATGTTCTACGTGGAACAACAGTAGAAACGGCAGCATTGAGAAGATCTCCCGTTGATTGTGTGTCAATCAGCACGATCCCAAGGTTCATCTACAGGAAATTGATATCAGTGATGACGTCGAAGACGTGTCCTATAATTTTGAAAGGCTATACACCCTGAGCACAGGAAAAATGCCTAACACGGCTCACTCTTACAACTAGACGTCAGTGAGAGGAGCGTGTAACGGACATGCGCAGGAGTAACGTTGGGGACTGAGCAGCTATTCACGCCGAGCACTGGGGCCACGCTGCAGACAGCCACGCGCATGTGGCTACACATTGCAAAATTGAGCTGACGACATTTCAGAACAACGAATCAACAGAAACAAGGGACACCGGGACGAGTGCTGCCCTCCACGGAAAAACATCAAGACGACACCACGATAGAACGAGGGGCATCAGTGCGTGTGCTATCCTTCATGGAACACTTGTTTGAAGACATGCACACACAGGTGAGGGGCCGGTAACTGGTAAATAGTAGTACGCCGAGTAGATCAACCCAAGAAAATCCTTGCGATCAGACATGTGCAGATCGACCAGCTATTTGTATCCCCTACCTGCGGAGAATGGAAGATATAGCCAGATCGTGACATAGCCAGTGGCGCTACTAAGGTTGGACAACCTTGATAGACATCTACCGCTCAAGGACCAGGCACCGACACCGGTTGAAAACAAGGAAACTATCGACACATTTCATTGTCGTCATCAGCATCAACTAGAACTGCCACACATACTGAGAATACGACGGAACGGACCCAATATGAACGTGAGGGTCCAAGCCGTCGCCGGACTTCACCCACATATTTCGCATGAACGAGAAGATGAACTGGACGGGAAACAATTCACCACCAACAACGCAATGGAACCACGATCAACACAGCGAGCGATCAACGGAACGGACGCTATGGAATCGAACAAGGACATTGCACCAGCTGCTACACACAAGACTACTTTACAGCACCGCTGCCCGTTGTTCACGGGTATGACTACTGCTATGTTCAACAAGATCTTTGTCCGTAACAGGGGCATGACTGCAACAACACTGATTGTGGGAAACAACGCTCGGTTTGGGAAAGACCTCTGCCCGCGCCGCGTCGGCATGACAACAATAACATGGGTGAACAGGACCTCTGTCTGCTGCGATGCCCAGGCATGACTACTTTGAACAAGATCTCTACCCACATCACGCGGACATGAAGACATCATCGACTAGTGGCTGAGCAGGAACTCTGTCTGCCATCAGGCAGGCATGACTAGAACGACATCCTTGGAGACGAACTCTGCCCTTTGTGTGGGCATAGCTACAGCTGGGAAGACAACAGCTATGGACCTCTGTCTGCAGGCACAAACACAAGCACATCTTCGGACGGATCTCTGCCCGCGTCGTGCGGGCATGACGACACAACTGGGCCGCGTGGTATTATTGCAGCCTAAGATAAGCAGGTCAACTACGATGACAATACCTATTCAGAAATGATCTCTGCCTGAGACATGTAGGCACGACTACCACAATCTACAACGTTTGGAACGGACTACTTACCCACTCAAGGATGAGGCAGATGCTATTTCTGGAGAACGATTTCTGCCCGCCACGTGGGCATGAACAAAACAAGTGGAGTATTTGGCATCACGGATGGAGCTGGTCTACGCGATCTCTGCTTGTCAGGTAGGCATGATTCAACAGCGTCATCATCGTTCTTGGACAACAGCGGGAATGGGTCGTGATGAGCTAGAGCCAAAGCTGGAATCTCAACGAATCCTAAGTGAGAGTACAACAACACCAGCAGGGATACAGTATTGGGGTGTACGAGCCGGAAATCAGTAAACTGCCAGGCGCAAAACGAGATCACGAGACATCAAGAAGTTGTCTATTGTGAAAGAGGAGGCCCCAGCAGAACACCTTTTGAGCGATACAACAGAGAAAGATTCTGATAGCAAGTCGGCTCCGGAGAGCATGGATATCAACGACGAGATAAAAGCAATAGTTCAATTCAGAACGGACACTATAATGCAACCCAGCAACACAAGGATAATATGGACTGATAGCTGGAACAGAAACTGGAAGCAGCCATGATGAACAGGACCGACCCGGATATAATCATCACCATCATGTAGGGTCTGGGGGAGAAGATCGACCTTATTGGTCGAAAACATCACTGAGGAGAACCGTATCGAAATCATCCTTCAACAACCCGGAGGAGTGCAAGATAATCCGGTACAGCATGAGTGACTGATGCTGGATATAACCTTGCCGAGATCGAGCACACAACCAAGGAGTTGTTCGGCATAACAACGAACGGACGGAGCTGTTACCATAGCAGGTCCACAGGATCTCTACCCGCGACGCGGGCTTGACGTCACAATAAAGTAAACTAAGGTTCAACCAGTCAATCAAACTGAGCGTAAAAGAATCTCTGCCTGCCATGTTGCAGGCATTAACGACAGCAACTCCTAAGTTTGGGCAAGATCTTAGACAGCGATGGCGCAGGCACGACAACAATAAACTATTGAGGTTGGATCAGATCTCTGTTCGCAGCGACGCGGACATGACAGCAACGACTGGTTTTGGATTGGATTTATGTCCGCTACGAGGGCGTGATTGCATCTACGCACTCCACAGGAGGGAACATGCAGAACAAGTGCGCGAAGACATGGATTTAGACGGCCGGAGGCCGTGCCAACAGAATGATGGGCATGATTCTGCACGAGGCAACAGGAGCTCTGCCCCCATGAGGGCATGGCTACTACTAGAGCAAATGTACCAATTAAGAGACACTTAAGCCACCGCTCAAACAGCTCGTTCTTGACTATTAGGACGATTATCGTTGACGTCGAGGTATCGTACGATAGCTAACATCACAGGCTACCTCCCCCCCCCCCAAAAAAAAAAAAAGAACCAGACGGCCCAAAACAAGAAGGCATTTTCGGAAGAGCGGAGCAGCTGGGTCGAACAGGTGACCACCGATTGGTCCGTCCGCAATACTGCAGTACCAACATCAAACAGCACGCGTGTGTTCAACCATCTTTAGAACACGCCAGCTGCTCTGCNCCAAAGCGTTTCAAGACCTGACTTTTTCGTATACGCTTTGCTTCAACTCATGCCTATGAAAAAAAAAAAATTGGGATCGATCCAGCCAGGGGCCACAAATGTCGCATCCCGGCCCATGCTCGCAATGCTTAGCAACAGACCCGCCACAGGGATGAAAATGCCCCGCATCACGGGTGTGGGAGCGGGTGTTGCTGTATCTCGTGGGTGCGTGACCCGATCGGGACGCTGAAGTGCTCAAACGAAAGCTAACGGAACGCTTGCAAATTTGAAAAAGAAATCAGGGGTCCCCGCGGATTGTGCGCGGAGATATGTGCATTTGAAAAAATGTGTCTCTTAATGGGGGGAATTGGTACATTTACTCTACCTATTCTAGGCCGCATTGAAATGTAGGCAATAACGACTACGAGAAGAGAGGAGTTCAATGCCACCGGTGCAGGAGGTTTGGGCACACTCACCTCACATGTCACCAAACATGCTCAGGAACGCACCGACAACAACAAAAAACGGTTCCTCGAATTGGAGGTAGAGAGTGAAAGTGGTCATTTCTACACAACTCGCACTTATGCAGCGAATCAGGCCATGCACACGGAGCGAACGACAGCAAGCATGAAGAATGCTGGATAATGGAGTTGCGACTTCATACGACTTGTGGGGGCGCTGGAACAGCGGATTACTACATTGATAACGCGGCAACAACGACAATCGCTATCTATCGTTTCCAGATCAAAATAGCGTCTTGGAACGAGGGGGCGAACGATAACGATTTACCAACCCCAAGGATCAAGATCTCAATCTCAATGGACGAAGCACTGAATAGAAGATAGGGAAATCACAGGGCAGCAGCAACAACAGCAGCTACTTGAACTCGCCGAAGCTACCAGTCAGAGTTCGAGAAGACCATCGCTAATGAGCTGGAGGAACTGACGTACGACCAATCACGAAGTGATGAAAATACGGAGTCGGACACCAGCTCTACGGGGGGCGACGATGGTGTGACAGTACGATACACTAGTGGTTACCCCTTTGCGTGGGCTGCGCGTACTGTTGCGGAACCGAGGGGAATGCGGGTGCTACTTCATTTCCTAGCGCAGCCCACGCAAAGGGGTAACCACTAGTGTATCGTACCATGACTCTCAACTCTCACCATCGGGGTCACATGTCGCGCCCCGTAGAGCTGGTGTCCGACTCCGTATCTTCATCACTTGGTGATTGGTCGTACGTCAGTTCCTCCAGCTCATTAGCGATGGTCTTCTCGAACTCTGACTGGTAGTCGATCTTCGGCGAGTTCGAGTAGCTGCTGTTGTTGCTGCTGCCCCGTGATTTCCCTATCTTCTATTCAGTGCTTCGTCCATCGTCCATTGAGATCTTGATCCTTGGGGTTGGGTGTGTCAGGGTAAATAATTTTTTCCTATTCTCGGAATTTAAGCACCTGGTACCCTTGAGAATGATCGATGATGAAGCACACACCACCTTATCAAAGGTCAATTTTGGGAGCATCGAGTATCCAAGATAGAAGACTTCATGTGTTCTCTGAGGCCACCCGTCTATGTAGAAGAACATAGTCGCGCTGATTCAAAACGAGGTCTGGGCAGTACTAGTAAAGTGTTGGATAATTCCAGATGTAGCACTGCAAGAACACTTACAACCCTGACTATGCACATGAGCTAGGACTATGCAGTATCCTGAGGTGTCGACAGCAACCGAAAACTCTGTACCGGAGAACCGTATCCGAAATCGAAGTCAAGTTGACTTTGACAGGATGGTAACTTACTTTTGAATTGCTGTTTGCATTTCTGTTATAACATGACATCAAGCGTGTCATGCAAATTAAAAATATTGTGGACTGCTGCATTTCTCGTCGTTCCCGTCGTATGTGCACTACAGATGCCCCCGACATTTCGGACGATGAAGATACCGATGACGATGAGGAAGAACTCATGCAACAGTTCTGGGAGTCGTCACAACAAAGAATGAACGACGATGGATTTGAATGAATCTGTTGAGATGTTGACACAACTGCTGTGTTTGGGAACAAGAGGACACGTACGATCAAACAAACGACGTACGACGTACGTATTTCGGATTATTCAACACCCTGTCGATTTTCAGAACTTGCTTGATCAGGTTGATGGTTTCAGAAAAGAAAATACAATCGCATATAAGCAAACGGATTGAGAGTAACCGCTGCACAACAAAGTAGGGTGTAATTCGGATGGTTATGTATGGGGGCGTGATGCGTGAAGCAGCGCCTGGCGGTCAGTAATATCAGAAGCAACCGCAACATTTGGAGCACCTGTTTGGTAACAAGCATAATACCGTATGGGTTGATTGGTAGAAAGCATTTCGAAGAAACGATCACGGGTGGAAAAAATTTACCTGAGATGTATCATTGAACATCAAGGGGGCGTGTTGAGATATACAGCAGCAATACTCTTGGTGACATAGTATGCTTGAATGCTGCTGTATGGTTGCTGCATGCAATGATCCATCGTATGGAGATAAACGCAATGTATGCGCAGTCTACTGGGCAGAATGCATATTTTGCCCAAGGAATATTTCAACAAGTTTCTGACTTTCCTGGACCCGTTCTCAATAACGTTGGGAGGAACATTATGTGTGGGCACGAACGGTAACGTGATTACACAACACGTAGAACGGTGCAAGCGTAGTTCCACAACCGTTGCCCGACCAAGTAGAAAGGTACCAGGACGCCGAAACGTTTCCGGACCAGTCTTTGGGTTCTGGAGTTTCTAGACAGGCAGAGGACGAGCTCGCCCAACGAGCTCACTCCCAACATCCCCTCTCCTTGCGTAGCACGTAAGCTGTAGTCTGAGCAATGCTCACATCCTAACGAGACGACTATAAACCATCGTCAGGGTCTTTGTGCACTGGTCTACCACCAATAGCCTCACCTCGATCTGAGCGTGTTTATCAGCATACTGCTGCTGTTTACATGAGGGACACATTCGCCAGACTCAACTGAGTCTTTGATATTATCATCAGTCACGTTAGTACCATATTGCTCGTATACGTATGAGGGCAAAGGAGGCTTGATACATATGACGCACACTATGACATATCCTATCTAAGCAGAGGTGGCACTACTGTTTTAAGACATCCTGTGAGCATGATTGGATTCGTCGCTTGCATTTTCGTGGCGTTATAGCCTTTGTTGCGATACTACTCTTGTCTCTCCCGACCGATCTCATGCGCCCGGTATCCATCTGAAGTGAGCAGAAGGAGCGGTGATCTTCTACGGCTCAAGCAAACGATTTAAAACGGCGACACTTTCGAATCACTCCATGCGCGGCACACCGAAAAGTCCAACGTTGGAGGTCAGAACGAGAACCAACCACAAAGACAGCAACCACGACAATAACCACAACTCCAACAGGAACAACATCAACAACGACGGCAGCAGCGGCAATGGCAGGCCAGCCAGCCTTCAAACTTGCCGTTGCTGCTCACTGACCTCGTTCACGTTGTACTCGTCCACCCAGCCGAACGACAGCCCCGACACGAACCCGCTCCACGTCCCATAGAACTCCTCTGCCGTTTCGTAGTTGTCTTTCGATCCGCCCATCTCGGGCGGGCTACCCTGGCCCCACCCACTCCCATCAGACGAAGCTTCACCAAAATCTCTCTCGGCGTCCCACACCTCTCGGAACGCTCGGGTGTAGGTCTGGTAGAAGCCGGACTCGTCGTCTCCGAAGCCGGAGAACGCTGCCGCGCTGCGTGTGAAAGTCAGACGTTCAGCGAGCAGTGCGGAAGCACATTGAAGTTGCCGGATGGGTCCAGTGCGCACGAGAAGCAAAGTGGCCCCAAAAAAACACGGAACATAGGGGCGCGGTAGGCCGAATATCATCCGCAACCCGAACTTCCTCAGAGCAGATGCCAAGCTCTGTGTGATCGTGCGATACCGGGACGAGTTGAATCTACCGTTACATCTTTCGGAGAAAAAAAATGCAAAAGTGGCACCTTAGGTCGCACAAAATACAACACCCCCTTGGACCGATTTTCAAAGTGCCAGCACTCCAGAGCAGAGGCAGCGACGATGCCGAACATGGCAGTGTTGGAACCGGGTATTCGAGTGCGCGTTCTCAAAACGCATCGTTCGACTGCTGTGGCATTCTCTTCGTCGTGGATAACCCTAGGCTTTGAAAACTCAGCCCACAGGGAGTGTGGAATCTCATGCAACCCACGGCTCTTGAAAGCAAAGACATCGGAGTTGCACCTGAAGAACGGCGTCACGTTAACCGTCCGCCCGCCCGCCCCGTCGTCGCTATCGCCGTCACCCTCGTAGCGTGCCGGGTTGAGGATCTCATCGCGATGGTCATCGTACCACTTCCTCTCGTGGACGTTGTTCAGCACGGCGTAGGCGTGCTGCAGCTCTTGGAAGCGCACCTGCGCCTCCGCCTCGTTTCCCACCTGGGTTGCCGATAGGTGTGCACACATTGCGAACGGCGCGGCCTCGTTGCCAACCTGTAGTGCCGGTGCAGTTGCTCATGATGACGATTCAACAGCAAAACAAAGCAACGGCTGTACCGTTCGCACTCTTGCGGTCAACACGGTTCTATGGTAAAGCTGGGTGTATCATGCCCGCCGCCAACGAAACCACCAGCACGGAGGATCCGCGTTACAGCACTTGCAGCCTACGAGTCAGTGCTACGCACAGCTGAACAACGGATGGGCAACCGACGAAAGACTTGCGAAGGGCACGATCCTCACTCGGCCTCGAGAGAAAGGAGTGGAGCCTGCACTGCACACTGCACTGCACTGCACAACGTTAGTCTGACCACCTATTTTAGGAAATGACCCCTTTCTCAGAAAGGTGTGTCTCCGAAACGCTTCCTACTCGTACTTGTATAAGCAAGGAAAATACGCGAGCCTGCCTATTCATGCCGTCAGTGATACAACGGCACCGGTTTTGCGGTCGCACCTAAACCAAAACCTCCTGAGCAACCTGCAGGACGCGGTACAGCTGTAGCATTACACCATAACATATGCCTCACATTCTTGTCAGGGTGCCACACCAAGGCTTGCTTCCTGTAGGCCTTCTTGATGTCTGGCGGGCTAGCATCGCGGGGGACGCCAAGGGCCAGCTGCAAACGTACCAGTACGTACGTTCGATGGGGCGAAATATAATACAAGTACCGATTCCAGTTTTCCAATAATACAGCAGTATTCGTCTGCAGTTGTACAGTTGGCGCCCGCAGTTAAGAAATATTTTGTTGAGAAATTGAGGCTCGCTTTTTCACGAAAAATAAGAAAATAGGGTTAAGAAACATGGCTCAATTTGGANTACCATTCTGGAAGTCATTTGCGCCGCGCGCTTCGTACAATAGTCCGATCAAACTACTCGGCCTATGCACTGTGGTCATAATCAACTGTGTCGCTGGTGGCGGCGCCTTGTTGAGGCTGTTCAGTACTCTCATTTGTTCACGATCGCAGGTGAATTTCTTGCAATAGCTAGACTTTGCACTACATGACACAGTTGGCGCCCGCAGTTAAGAAATATTTTGTTAAGAAATTGAGGCTCACTTTTTCACGAAAAATATGAAAATAGGTTTAAGAAACATAGCTCAATCTGGGTCACACAATAAGAAATGTCTCAATAAGAAACACAGCGGCGACCGCTGCCCTACTACAAAAGACACGAGGGTTTACGGGGGAGTGCGTCGAATAAGAAACAAACCCCACAGCTCTCTCGCTCTTTCCCCNTTTTTTTTGCGGCGCCCCCACCGGCCCCCTGCGGGCTCTGCCACGCTCTCTGCTGGCGCTAAAGCTTTGGCACAGCACACCAGACAGGCTGCGAACCACGACATGCTGTCTGCTGTACACGGCTTTGATGGTTCTCTCCGCCAGCTCTCGTGAGGGCTTGACCAAGCTGGTCACCCTCAGAGATCAACAAGAACTGTGGACGAGCCAGCTCGGGGACATCAAGAAGCACCTTCTGAACAACGAGTCTCTGTCTCACGATTGCTGGGAAGGCATTGAAGAGTTGCGGAGTTTGAGGTCTTCCGATATCCTTACTTTGGAGGAGCATGTGCAGCATCTCAACGAACATGTGGCGTCCCACCTCAAGAAAAAGGCCCCGGTGCCAACCCCTCCTGAATCGGCTGCTGGTTCAAGCGCACAGCAGTTCGTAGGGCAGAAGTGAAAGGCATCATCGTCTTCAACAGCATCAGCCAAGAAAAAGGGGAGGGCAGCATCCAACCCGCCGGTAGGGACTCACAACATCACCAATGCCTTCGCTAAAGGCAGTGACAAACCGGTGCGTAGAATATGTTTGTGTGTGCCGACGAGAGGGTCTCGCGCGATACTTGAAAATATATTCAGCGCCACCGAGATGCGGACAGACCAGATATTTTTCTTTTTAATGTTTTTTTGTTTCNTTCAACAGCATCAGCCAAGAAAAAGGGGAGGGCAGCATCCAACCCGCCGGTAGGGACTCACAACATCACCAATGCCTTCGCTAAAGGCAGTGACAAACCGGTGCGTAGAATATGTTTGTGTGTGCCGACGAGAGGGTCTCGCGCGATACTTGAAAATATATTCAGCGCCACCGAGATGCGGACAGACCAGATATTTTTCTTTTTAATGTTTTTTTGTTTCCTTTTGGTGTCCAAAATACACATTTGCGTCTACATGTATGTATTGTTGGCATCGAATGCTCTGTGTTGTGACTGTCTCTTTCGGTTTGCGTGAGTTCCTATTCTTTGTCTTCGATTTGCGTCATACCGGTGCTGCTGTGAACCACGTGAATGATCCCAACACTTCAGATTATTGTTGAAATGCCGCATAAAGATGATTTTTGAGCCGCTTTTGCACGAAAAGTGTACGTACTCATTGGCAAGAACACGTCTGTAGCAGTAAGTCGCCAGCGTGCCTCCGTACCAGGTTCGCCTCTTTTTTTGTCAACCCTTTCCGACATGCGTCTTCTTACATGTTGCTGTGCTGGCCTTACCCGCGGCAGCACTCTTTTGTTGAACGAGCTTATGTTGCTATCTTCCAAACAACAAATAATAAACTCAAGCAGGAATGAACAATACCACCGCCCTCCGATGCCCTCCCTCCCCCATTTCTGTGCAAGCAGGTGGTGCGTACGCGTGGGGACGGCCGCACGGAGGAGATCACAAACATCAATTTCGCCGCGCCTCCACCGCCTCAACCGACAGTTCCTTGTACGAAGTGCAACCGTCGTTTCTTCAACACCCGGGGCCTTGGGGTGCACATCAAAACTGACCACGAGCGTGAAGCGAAGATCTCAGTTCAACGGTGGTGTTCAACGAACAGGAAGGGGGCGGGGGCATCATCTCTCCTCCCTTGGGGTGGGACACCGTCAGGGCGTTGCTGGCACGTTGCGTTTCACCATGGAGAGAGTCGCGGATGCGGCGCGACATGTCCGCCAGGGTCCGTGTCGTTTGTGCTGCAGCCTTTACGCCCTGGAGCCGAGCGGAACAACAACCTTGTGAACGGCGGCTTTTCACAATCGGAGTCGCCACCAAAGAAAACGTGCGGAGTAGCCTCGAGGAGACGGTACACCTCGCGCGAGAAGATCGGTGTTGTTCATGAGCTGCGAGATCTGGAGTAGCGGTCAACGGAGGTTCGTGCGCACTTCGGTATGACACCTCTCTTTTACTTGGAACATAAGTCAGGGATAGCAGCAAACGGCAGAAGGATGAAGACTCTCTCGTGCAGCAAGCAGCTGACAAGGTGCGGAGTAGTCTGACGGGGACATGCACTCGACGGCGGCTGTGGTTCTCTGACGCGGAGAAGGAGCTGTACAAGATGTTGCTGGCACGACGCAAGAGGGAGCTGCGGGTCTCGACAAGGTGGATCACGGTCACTTTCAAAAAGCTTATCCTGGAAAGATACCCGCAAGATCCACGAGCAAGGGCATTCCGGCCCGGCACGAGCAAGATCACTGTGACGAAAGCACGCGTCGCATAAGGATGCCGGTGGAGACGTACAGCACGGATGAAGACGCTGCAATTGGGGCGTGGGTTCTCCTAGAGGTAGACCCAAAGGAAGGTAGCGGGAGGCGCAAAAGGGTGACAACCCTCAATGTTCGCCTCACCGAGCTTGCAACATAATGACGGGGTAGGTTTCGTTGTCGGCACGTCAGCGTGCGGGTGAGGCATCATGCGGTGTTTATGCGTTTGTTTAGTTTCAGCCCTCACTCATGAGGGGGGTACAGGACCTTGTAGCGATAGCGAGACGTCGCCGCTGGATACATTTCGCTTCTAGGGAGTGGCCTTACGTGCAGCCGTCGGTAGTGAGAATCGGGGTTGAGTACGGGGGTCGAGGAAAGCAGTGCAAATCACTTGTGTATTTGGAACGTTGTGTAGTATGCAAGCAGAGAAATAAGAAATTGCCGATTTAAGAACTTCAGCAGGGTTTGGCTGCACGAAAAAATAAGAATCTTGAAATAAGAAACTGAACGACATACGCTGAGTTTATGTCCCACAATAAGAATTCGAGGCTGGACCTGAAATAAGCGTTTCTTAACTGCGGGCGCCAACTGTAGCTGGAAGGGGTGTTGTTCGCGGATGCCAGCAATATAGTACCATTAGGAAAAAATATAATTACCATGTACAGCAGTAGAATCAAGAGAAAGGCGGCCCGAGCTCAAGCTCGACAATGATCACACACATCCCATACGCGATACGTGATACGTCAGTGTGCCATTACTGCTCTGCCATGCCGTACCGTATCACACGTCGTGCAGTTTGGGCTACATGGGGCATTTCCGCAACAAGTCTCTCCGCCAGTCGATATTACTGCCTGTATGTTGTGTGCAAGAACGCTCCATCACCAGGAAGGTATTATACATGTACAGTCGACCCCGCTTTAACGACGCACATGATTTTTCCCAAAAAAAGGCGTCCATAAAGCGGGGTTGGGTCCTTGAAATTCAGGAGACGATAGCTCACCATCCCCGGGGCCAATGGAGGCATGCTATACCTCAAACTACGCGTCTCTTGCTAAGGAAGGGTATGGTACGAAAAGTCAGCATCACCGAGACGACTGGCAACCGTTTGTTGACTTCGAACATAATTACAACACTTAAAATGAGATGTACAGCTGTCGGGGACATGTCGAAAGCAACTACAGTACACAAGTTTGTACTTGGCCAACTAATGTACTGCATAGCCGGCAGCGGAAGGAGGAGTCAAGTCCAAGCAGACATATGTTTATCTCATTCTTGTGGAACAAAAAAAAAAACGGGCGTATTTCAGCGTCGCACCGAGGGACACCAGTCAGTACATGTAACTGTCCCGGCGGAGACCAAAAGCTACCCTGATGGCTTTTCCTTCCACATATCGCGAAGAGTTCCCTGAACCTCCCCCCGCGGCTTGGCTCTACGGCTCTGTTAAGTTTCATGAGTAAACAAATGAACGGTCTTCAAAAGAAGGTACAGCGTCTCACGATACTCGCCACCCCTTTCCTTCGCGTACAAATAGAATCGAACGTCCTCCCCTCGGTGTAGGACGAGGTTGTGCACGACTTTTTTTTTCGGCGGCATCGGATGGACCGCCGGTAGGTGGGAGGAATCTATCCTATAATGGAATCGGTCTGTCGCCATGTGCTAGCCATGTGCAACCCAGCGACGCCATCGGCACGCTCAAGACTGCAGTTGGTTAAATTCAGCGACAAAATGTTGCTAAGCTTCTTGGTGCCACAGGCCATGTCCGGTGTATTCGCCACGTACCGTAGATAAGCCGTAGCTACTGCTGTGTACTGCTGTAGGTTCTAGTCTGCACAGTACGCCGTAGTACAGCAGACCTACCGCTGTACCTTCTGTAGGTCCTTTCTCTTTCCAACCATTTCAGGGCGCCAAGTTCAACCAGCGCACACAAACACGCGTTGGTGTTGTCTTCCTTCATTCAGCATCGATTACTGGCAATGATATCATCAGCAAGTAACGCGAAGAGAGAAGTCCCCACTCGGTGCAGCAGGTGTCGCATGTGGGCGAAGAAGCTGCATCACGGCAGCTACGGCAGTAGTGGTAGCTGCACGTGGCCCTCACCATTTGTCTACTACTGTTGTAGAGGTAAAGTACGGAAGTACTTTCCTTGACCCTCGGACGATCAGCAGCCTTGTTGCACACGGTACGGGAAAAATAACAGTCATTCATGGAGCTAGCTCTATGATGGTCTGGGGCCTGCACCAAACAGGATTCTACTTGTAACCCAACGGTCAGTCGAGACGACGAGACGCTCGCGCGTGTACAGCCAAACGTGAATATCAAATTTCAGACACACACACGTTCGCGATATCATCATCACACATCGGGCTGGACTCACTCACATAGAGGCAACGGGTTGGAGCGTGAGTGCTCCCTCCACTTGCACCGCTCATCAGCTCACACACCCACGCACGCTCCACTCGCCGCCAAGCAGTCGCAGCAACAAGTACGAGTACACGAGTACCAGACAGTAGCGTTCAGTGGGGGGCGCGCGGACTAGATTGATAGGGGGCGCGCAGACGGGCAGGTTGAGGTGGGTTCGATCACTCCTGCGCGCGGAATGGTGCATGTACCGATATACCGACCTCAATATACCGCACATGTACTACATTGATTGTAATGCACCGTGAAGTACACCACTGCATGCCCATGTCTAGTCGCGCTACCTCGTCAAGCTCATCAACGGTCGCACACACGCGGTACCTGCAACTTTGCGAGGTGTGAACGGTGGATTAGTCAGCAGTGGGAAGGGAAAAAGGGAAGTTCTAGCAGGAAACTACGAGAGATTTGGAGTGCCCTCGGAGAATGAAGCTTTTGACCAAGTGTTTTAGAAGGAGGTGGACGCATGGGCCCAAAAAGACGAAGGGACATCGAAGGCAGACGTTGGGAACGTAGAACTAGAAAAGGAGTTCACTGAGGACGAGGTTGAGGCGTGTGTGAACAAGCTGAAGTGCCACAAAGCAGCAGGAGCGGATGGGATAGTCAACGAGTTCATGAAGTTTGGGGGGAAGGGGATGATCCAGCTGATG